GTAACATCATTAGCCTATCAACAGAGGCAGGCCATCTTTGGAAATCACCTGTCCCTTGCTTCTAGAAATCCTGGGGAATCACGTAGAGTAGCTACTTATGCAAACAACCAGCAAGGAGAGTTATATTACTGCAGGCTGAGCCTTGTGAACATATGACCTGTAACATGAGCCTTAGTCCTGCCCCTCAACAACTTAAAAGAGGCTCTGCTGAAAAGTAGTATAATACAGTAAATAAGGGCATGAGCTTTAAAATTAAACTTTGGCATCAAGTCTTGGCTCTCTCATGACTCACTATGGAATCATAAGTACGTAACTTAACCTCTTAGCAAATCGGTCTCTGCTGCTGTAAAATGTGGGTGGCTATATTTATCACACAGCAGAGCTGCAATGATTAAAATACATGAAATGCTTATAAAGGATTAAGCACAGTACCTGATATATATTAAATGCCCAATCATTAATGATTATTATCAACAGTTATAATGTCAATCCTCCTGAGGATAAAAATAAATAATTTATATATAATAATTGTTTCAAAAAACAAACAAAAAAAGATATCTCTCGAATCTCATCAGAAGCCAGCGCCAGTCTTACCATGAATTTTGGTAAGTTTTATACCATGGATCTATAGCACATCAATGTAAGGGTAGGTTTTCAAAACAAAGGAGTCCAGTAGAGTGAAGGGAGCATAGAATCTGGAATTCTTACCCAGCTCTACCACTTCCTAGCCATGTGACCATGAGGAAATAGCTCTCTGAACCTGTTTCCTTAAAGACAGAGTACAGAAATATCACTGTAGACTGCTCAAGATGACTGAATGTACTGCAGAAGTAGAGGCCTCCCCCACCTACTCCAAACACACACAAATTCAAGATGAAAGAGAGAGAGAGGGAAGGAGGGAGGGAGGGGGGAGGAAGGCAGAAGTAGAGGCCTCCCCCACCTACTCCAAACACATACAAATTCAAGATGAAAGAGAGAGAGGGAGGGAGGGAGGGAGGGAGGGGAGAGGAAGGGAGAGAGAGAGAGAGAGAGAGAGAGAGAGAGAGAGAGAGAGAGAGAGAAGAAAAGAAAGACAGACAGACAAGACAAGACAGACAAACAACACTGTAGTATTCAAAACCAGGACAGGAAAGTCTACAGATGGCAAAAGAAAGAAAGCCACAGCACTGACCCATTGAGAAAAACCAAACCATAGAAACTAGTCTGAAAGACAGATAATGACAGGAGCCAAGACACACCTATAAAAGGGGAGCTGGAACTCAATTCCCAGCATGAAGATGGGAGCCAGGACTCTACCCACAAGCTCAAGAACATGGTTTGGGAATGGCTTCTGCCCTTGTAAGGGATGGAAAGAGTCAACTGCTAGAAATATAATTCCCTTAGCTAGACCACAAGTATACTGGGGAAATGCAAAATAATCTAAAGATTGCTCTGGAGAGAACTACCCCTTAAGGCCCCAACAGGGATGCCTATACAAACCAAGGAACACAAGAGGCCTCAAAAGAAGATACTTCCTACTAAAGATAAGCTCACAAACAAAAATTACAAAACAAAAGAAGAAATCTAACAGCATGAGAAATAGCTGACACATAACAGCAGAAATTAGACCCAGGAACTCAAGATAATAGATTAATCTAAAAGATACCTTAAAATAAAAACATTTATAATGTTCAGAGAGATAAACAAAATTTGTAAGATAGGAATAGACAGTGGGATGCAAACTGGTAGTACAAACTTTTTGAAAGACAATATGGCAATACATACACATTAAATTATTCAAAGTTCTGGAAATTTTTCCTAGGAAATACTAAAAAGAAAACATTTTATACGTAAGATAGTTTCTGGCAGAGTTATTTATAATAGTGAAAAATGAGAAACAACCAAAATGCCTGGCAATAGGTAAATGATTAAAAAACACTGTTAAGTGCCATAAGTATAACAAAAGACTAGGCAGCAACATGAAAAATGCATATGCTTATAAGTGAAAAATAATCGGAAAACAGAGTATCTCAACAAATTGTTACTGTATATAAACTTTATGGGCATATGATTAAGAACAGTAGTTCTTTGTTGGAATGAGGGGGTGAATTTCTTTCTTTTTAATATTGCATTAATATTGCTATAATACTGTTGGTATAATAATTTTTAACACAGTAAATGATAGAGACAAATGTCTAACTTTTCTAAGAAATAAATTTCTAAAAAATCTATATATATAGTCAGTTGTCAAAAAATATATCAAATAGTTCAGAAAAGTTTCTAACCTAGACACCCTAAACATACATTATGAATGCAAAAGCCTTCCTATTTTCATGTGAAAGTTTCTTTAAAGTTAGAAACTAAAATTACACTCTACAAAACTAATGCAAATGATTACAGTGGTATATATGTCTTATTAAGTTTATAAAGGTTAACAGTTATAATTTTAATTTTCAAGGATTAAACATTTCACAGTTCAAAGAAGGCACTAGATGAAAATCTACTTATTTTCACAAATTTAACTTCTGTTATATGATTTAGTTATATGATTTTTATAAATGTGTGGACTATCAGAGCTGTAAAGAACAAGAAAAATATATAAGCTTAATAACTTTTTAATTTTACTGATTAGGGCACTGAGGCCCATACAAGGAAAGTGAATTATCCAACACAACAGATAGTATCTGAGCCAGGCTTAGTTAAATAGTCTCCTTTAAATGTTTAAAAATCAATTCTGAAGAAATGATATGATATCTGATATTTGCTTTAAGTTAATTCAGCTATTTTCTTTTGGGGGCATGAAATATGATGGACAGTAAATTAATAGATTTTGAAACCAGGTGATAGGTCCATTGAGGTTATGATATTATTCTATGCAATTGTGTATATGTTTTGATTTTCCATAATGAAAAGTTTAAATTCCTAAAATAACAAGGGGTAAAGATCTCAAAATGAGGGGCAAAGCTGTCAAATCTGTGACCTAAAAACTGAATTATAAGACCTGTAGCAGATTGTCCATGAACTGAGTATATTTCATGTCATTTAGCTGTGATTACTGAGGCTTTAAAATTTTTTTTTCATCATGACTATAATAAATGATGCATGTTTCTCATTAGACATGCTAAAACCATCCAAGCTCAGAAACTGAACAAACAATCCACTGAATTAATTAGCACTTGAAATACGAAAATTACATTTGGAACAAAATTAATTCTTTAAAAAAAGGCAGATTTTCCATAACACGTGCATGCACAACACATGTTAGTGGATCAGCCTAGATATATTACACAGTGATTATAATCATCTGCATTATTAAAGCCTTTAAAACAAGTAGAATATATGGCACTCAGAGTCAATGAAAAGAACTAGAGATCAGCAGCTCATTACTGCAAAACAAACCTTCCTAACAAATCATACCGGCTACTTAAACAAAAGAAAAAGAAAGAAAAACTAAACACAGATAATGAGCCTTGGCCCCCCCCAAAAAACAAAAGAAAAAGAAAACCTTCCTCCTTCAAAAACATGGCTTGATTATGAATACACAGACCTGAAAGGTGAAAATTAGAGGGGGCTAAGAACCATAGCATAGCCCTAGAACAGCCTATTCCAGCCACTGTAAACCAGCTGCAGTTTCTCTGGACTCATCACCTTCCTCCTGCCTCTAGGAATTTGTGAGCACTGCTCCCTCTGCTGGAACATCTCCACCCACCCACTCACTGCAACCTTCCTGCCTTTTTCCTCCAGGAATTTTTCAGTAATCCCCAGTCTAAATTAAATACTCTCCCACTCTGCTTTGACAATACCCTAGATTATCTCTACTTTGGAACTTATTTCACGCATGAAAGTGTAATTAATGGTCTGCTCCCCACACTAGACAATGAGTTTCTTCAGAGCGAGGACTGTGTCTTCATTCCCTGCTGAATTCTCAGCATCTACCAGGTACCGGGGATACAATAAGTGCTGAAGAAAAATGTATTAAATTAATCAATCACAAAGCAGAGGGTCTGGCGCAGGGATTGGAGAACTCTTTCTGCCTATAAAGGACCAGATGGCAAAAATTCCTGGCTTTGGGAGCCACATGGTTTCAGTCACAACTTCTCAGCTCTGCCTCTGCAGAACAAAAGCAGTCTTAGACAATATGTAAATGAATGGAGATGGCTGTGTTCCAACAAAACTTTACTGCCCAAACCAGGTGGTGAGCCAGATTTGGGCTGTGGACCACAGTTTGCCAATCCCTGGTTTAAAGGAAGAACTTTAAATTTTAAAAAAGGAAGGGAAAAAAAAGATGATGAAACAATCAGAGACTTGATGCTTTAAACTTATACAAAATTTAGGCTAAACTGTACTTACACAACTCAATGATTACCATTTTGTACTATCTCCTCTCCTCTGTGAGCTGGTCTGTGATGCAGAGTAAGAGGAAGGGAAAGGGGAGGAGAGAATGGCGCTCTGTGACAGACAGGAGCTCAACACAGGTGTCAGGCCTCACTCAGTCACAGACAAAAATGGATCAGCAAGATAAGAAAAGCAGCAGAGATGGGTTTAAACTAGAAGGGATTTGCTAGGACTTTAAGTTTGTTCAGTCATCCCTAATAGATTGACTGAGTATTGGTAAACCTGGGTTAGACACACAGAGTAGCATAAAAATAGACTCAAGATATGTACGGTCAATAGCTGAGAATTTCAGTACACTTTGAATTATGCATCAAAACAATGTATGTGCTTGCCTTCCACAGATCAAGGAAAAGAATGAAAAAATGACAACGTTCGCTCAGGGATTGGCCATTCAGGTTTGAAAGTGAGTCCATGCTCATCGCTGCTGCTTTCTTGCCTCTGATGCCACACGCGAGCCTTCCCGCTCCCTGAGCCCTGCTCTCACCACAACCCTCCAGCGCCTGCCTCTCTGGCTGTAGCAACAGAAGAGCACCTCGAGACCGAGCCGGTGTGGACCAGGTGAACCTGTTTTCTTTGGAATGTGCATGGTCTGTCTGAGAAGTTACTATATTTAATCAGAGCCTTACTTTTCATAGTCCCTTCCTCTTCCTCATCCTCTGCATTGATCACCATGGTGCCCAGCTGTGATGGCAATGTGTCATCGTGCTCAATCATAGTATTGGCTCCATCACTCATGGTGCTGGCTACTCGGACAGTGCCCATCTCATCACCTGCTGCTCGAACCATCGTGCCAGAATCCATTTCATCCTCCTCCTGTAAAAGGACAAAATCTCAAATAGGGGCTAATTTGATTAAAAGATTTTGAGTTTTCTGAATAACTATTACTCATCTTGATGCAAATATCTCTGGATCTGACACTTACTCAGGCCCTAGACCCACCTTGTAGAACTGAGACTCTTATTTAACCAAAGAATATTATAAAATTACCCATGTGAGAGTAGCATATCTAACCTCAAAGGACCCTCTCCCTCTCCTCCTTTCTCTTTCTTAATAGACTTTGCAACATGGATCTAAGGAATTGAAAAGACATCCTTGGAATCTCAGGGTTGTGAGGACATCTGTAAGTGTAAAATCTATGTATTTAGTATAAATTCTAGATTCTCCAAAAAGGCCATTGGAAAAACCAAGTCTCAGACCTGAAGATTCTCTTTCCTGAATAAAAATTTAAATTGAATAAAAGATACAGGGGCAAAATAAAACTTCAGAGTGTCTTAGGAAGCACTGCGAGAAGAGCAAGTACAACTGCACCAAGCCTCCTGCAAGCCTTGGTCCAGGACAGGTCTTGGTCACACAAGAAGATTCTCCAGCTCCAGGATGACCAACATCTACTCGTCCTGCCTGGATTGCAATCCTGAAATAACAAGCATTAATGCCTGAGCCCAAAGCCAGGCTGGCCACTCACTGAGTTTTCTTCATCATCCTGGTCCACCTCCCGCTGCTGGGCTTCCTGGCGTTTCAGTTTCACGTCCATGGCTTCATTAATTAAGTCCCGCAGTATCGACACTCCTTTGGCACTCTTGACAAATGGGTGCTTAAACAAGAAAGTAGCAAACACTAGGGATAGTTTATATGGCGCGACTGCCCAAATAGTGCCTGGCACACAGGAGGAACTTGATAACATTGGTTGAAATCAGTGAATCTAATCTTTCTCTTTGCGCTTCGGACAACAGCTAAACCACACTCACTTTATAACTGAACAGATGCACTTTCGAGCTCTGCCCATCTTTTTCAGCCTGGCGAGAACGTCTCCTCCATTTCTCTCTGCCAAATCTACAGATTCTCAACAGGGTGGGATCACTCCCTAGAGAAGTTTTGTAAGGTTGGGAGCTTATGGTTGTTACAGTGTTTGAAGAACAGGAACAGCATGGGAGGGGACGCTGGGACACTACAGTCCTGCCGGTGGAGAACGCTCCAGGCACGTGAACTGTGGCACATTCTGCACATTTTCCAAATGTCTCAGTCTACACATACACTTTAATAAATAATACTGAAATTTTTTTCAAGAGAAGCAAAAAGTGTAATAATTTGGGAGGTGATTTTGGAGTGCAGGCTTACATGGAATAAAGACACTGTTTAGGAATCACTGAATGATTTACTCACTCTTTCTATTCTTTCTATTCAACGTTCTATAGAATTTCCAACTACATAATTAGGTAAAAAGGATTTTAGTGCAAAAGTGGAGTTACTGCAGAAATACTAAAACTGATCACAAATATGTGACAGATGTAGGCCCAAATACTATTTAATCAGCAAAGTTGCACTGGGAACATAGGGATATTGCTGAATTTCATTTATAAAAATGGCTTAAAGTTTTTAATATTAATACCATCTTACATTTTTGTTGTTTATGTTTGTGACTCAAGAAACCTATGCTATAAAAGTCACATATGGAAATTCTTTCGGGGGGGAGGGTGCCTGTTGTTTTCCAAATTTATTCTGATATTGTCCCTAGTGTTTCTCTTTGCAACCCATTCTCTCCTGCACCCACCAAAAGGCAGGGGCTCCAAAGTCTTTGTAAGTACTACAGAGACTGAAAGGATGCCTCAATATGTGGTGGGATCGCAAAAAAGAGAAATCTCTTCCATAAAACTTCATCAGTTCCCCGTCCAGGAAGGAAAAGAATTTCTCATTACACTTAGAAATAAGATCTGTTTATAAGAATATCATATTTCCTTGTTCTCTCCACTTGGAAAAATCTTTAAGGTCATTTCCCTCCTCATCATATGCAAGTAAGTCTGGTCTGTTATGACATAACATTTAGTTTTAGGCAACTGTTCACCTATTCGTTTTCCTATTTCATGAATGGAATGGTTTCTGTTCTTCTTACTGCTCTTAAATCTAAATTCATAACGCTAGGTACAGGTGTCTAACTACTTCATTGTGTCTATAAGTTGAGTAAAGCTGGAGTATTTCTATGTTGTCTGATATGTTATTTTATTATAAATTGTCTTTTTATTTTTCCATTAGATCACAGATATTATACTGATTCCTTTTAAATTATGGGCATAGATTTTATTATCTATGAGTTTCCTTCTAGAAGAGTAATGAGAGTGTTAAAAGATGTGTGTGTGTATGTGTGTGTGTGTGTTATAAAAAGGGGGCACTGGGTCTGAAATGGTTGAAAACCATTTGCCTAGCCCAATAACAGCAAATATTTGTCAAATCCATAATTTAATACGTGTAAAGCATTGTTCAAAATTATACATATCTCTTAATCTTCACAACAGATGAGGTAGGTATTTTATCTCCATTTTATAAATAAGAAAACTATAGTAACAGAGAGGTTATGTTACTTGCCTAAGGTCATCAAGCTTGTAAATGGGAGCCAGGATTCAAATCTGAGCAGTCTGACTCCAAAACCCCAGCTCCTAACCACTAAGCATACTGCCTGCCAAAGCCCACCATCCTGCAAGGCCCAGGCACAGAGGTCACACCTTCTCCAGGAAAGCATTCCTAGCATCTCCAGTCTGAAGTGGCCTCCTCCCGCCCTGAGCTACAACAGCACCTACCATTAATCTTAGTTCTTTGTCAGAACTGAATAGGATTGACGGCGTTCCTGCTCTGAAATCAAAAGACCTAGGTTCTAATCTCGGCCCTGCTGTTTACCAGCAGTATCTCAAAATGAGTTAACCTCTCCCAGTCCCCATTTTCTCACTTATAAAAATGAAATAATACCCATCCCTCACAGGGTCTACATGCTGATTAAATGATACGACACATGAAAAGCATCCAGCACACAGCAGGTGCTCACTAAATGTAAATTTCTGTTCTCTAATCTCATAGAGCCCTGCATTTTCTTGCATTATTGTCTTGTTCAGTGATTTAACATTCTTTTCTATGTCTTTCCTATTCAGTTAAGATTCAAACCTCCCAAGAGGCAGAGAATGTCTTATACATTTTACCATCCCTGTGTAGGTGGTTAACAGCATCTTTTGGTTGGCATGGAAATGAAACAGAGAGAGGCAGCATCCCAGGGTGATTCATACCTGTAGGAGTTGAGTGGCTGTGGCTCTCTGCTCAGGGCTCTTTACAAGACACTGCTTCACAAAATCCATGAAGTTATCTGACCACAGTTCTGGCTTTCGAAATGTGGGAGGAGGGTTGGTAGGAATCATGAAGATTGCCTAGTTAAAAAAAAAAAAAAAAAAAAGATTTGGTTAAATAAAAGTGATGCTCCAATAAAAATATGACTAGAAATACGGTCGAAGTTTGATAAAGTGATTTTTCTCTTATCTACCGATAAGCCCATCCAAAATCCAACAAAAGTCTAAGTATTCAAAGAAATAAATATGACAATTAGAGAACCTCATATAATAACTTTCTCCCTCCTCCTCCCTCTTCTTCCCCCTCCTTCTCCCTCTTTCACATATATCCTTGTCCCCTGAACCTCATAATATCATCAAGCTTTTTTTTTCTGACCACAGTATATTGCCTTTCAAAATGAACAGGCAAAACCTAAGAGCATCAATATCCTGAAGATAACCTCGGCCCCTCAGCTGTCAAATTCCACTCCCTCCTAAAGGTTGCCACCACCACTAGATATGACTGTAAGATCATAAACCCAGATGTCCCCAAAATCCCAAGGGATTCATTAACCTCCAACCCAAGCCAATTCAACATACTTGAAAAAAAAACTGGCTCACTACATTGCAGTTAAAAAAAAATAAAACTCTTATTTATTAATTAAGTTTTATTTATTTATTTATTTACTTACTTACTTACTTATTTATTACGTTTCCAATAAGAGCCACAGTTTAAAAAAAAGCTCTTTGCAATAAGCAGCTCAAATGATACTCTTTAAATCAAAATTATATTCTTTAAATACAACCGGTAAATCTTCCCACCCTTCCCCACTTCTGCCCCTCCAAAAGAGGACAGCTTATCTTGAACACATGAATACTTAAAAAAAATAACTGTTAAGTCTTTCAATAATAGAACTAATTAATCAGAGAAGAGAAAAAGCTGGGGTTGGGGGGTATGGAGAAGACTACAAATTCCCAGAGGGAGGCAGGGTTGAGGCCTTATAACAGAACTGTGATGAGGGGTTCTGGGGGCGGGCAAAGCCTGGAAACCCCTTAGTGTGTTTAACGCTGAGGGCATTTCAGTAGAGAGTGAATCTATGGGCCCTTAACATTCTAGAAGCAGATGGAGGTTGGAGAGTATAGAACCACCAGATGAAAAGAGTCTGGGGCTCTATGAACGAAAACTTACAAATGTAAATACCTAGAAGGGCCAGGCAGGAAAGAGACAAATGCACCAGGCTGGGTATTAGTGAGATGAGTTCAAAAAATAGTGTGCCTTCCTCTTAATACTACTATTAAGAAAAACATTAGAGAAAACACTATAATAAGTTGACAGCTGATACTTGGTGAACAGGGAATCGTGGAGACTGATCAAGTGGAAAGCCCATTAACTTGTATAAAGGAGAATGCTCCTCAGTTCCAGTTAATGTTGTGTTAAAATGTGAGCACCTAAACTAAAAACTATACATATTGCACAAGTTAAACCAAGCATTTCTGTGGCCCATGTCCTGCCAGAGGGATATCAAGACACAGCCTCTGGAATGGAGATGGGAAAACCACACATGGATTAATTAGTGACTACAACTAGTGGAAGTGTTATCATCTGAAGTCCAGACTGACACATCAATAATATGCAATTAATACATTTATCATTTAGTACCTAACCAAGTAAGTCGTTTAACTAACTTTCTAACGATAACCAGTAACTAACCACTACAGTGGTGTTCTGTCCATTTCCTTACCCTCATTGGATGGATATCAGCATATGGGGGCTTTCCTTCAGCCATTTCTATGGCAGTTATTCCCAATGACCAGATGTCTGCCACACAGTTGTACCCAATTTCCTGAATCACTTCTGGAGCCATCCAAAACGGTGTTCCTATCACTGTATTTCGCTTGGCCATGGTATCCTAAATAGAAAGCGGGGAGAGATTGACACTGAGAATTAAAACTACTGAGAAAGAGAGACTTTTCCAACAATAAGTAATGACTCACACTCGAAATTCGTATAAAAACCACATTCAAGGCATGATCAAGCAAGTCGCAAAAGAAATTCGAATAATCTAGAGACAAAAGGTTCTCAATCAGCTGTTAAAACAAAAAATAACAACCAATACAACACTAAAATAAGATTGACAAAAATGAAGAAGATTAATAATTACTGTTGATAACAACATAGAAAATCATGCACTGAAGTACACTGTTACTGGAGTATAAATCAGTACAACTTTTTAGTAAGCCATTTGGCAATATTTATTAAACTCAAATGTCCATATCCTCTGATACAAATCTATTTCTAGAAATGTATCTTATGCATAGGCACCCTAAGATATATACATAAGTGCTGCAGAAATATTTGTAATAAAGGGGTGAAATAAAAGTAGGAAACAACCCAAATGACCATCTAAAGGGAGTATGTTAAATAAAATAAATATCCATACAATAAAACACCACACTAAAAACAAAAGAGAGAGGTAGATACATTTTTCTGGCTTGGGAAAAATGTATAAGATATATTGTGAAGCAAAAAAAAAAAAAAAAAATAGGTTGCAAAATTATATATAATATAGCCTTGTTGTTGTAAAAGGAAAATAATGAAACAAAACCCAACAATAACAAAAACTGTTCCTTCTGAAATGCCTGTGGCTTAAGTTAGGTTATGCCAATTAGAGGCAAATGGCAGGTAATATTTTTAAATTGATCTCACTTAGTCTTATAGAAAAAATTAACACAGGAACTAACTTACTGCTTAGTCATTTCCTTTGCTCTGAAACTTGAAATTTGCTGGAGTAGTTTTCAAATGGTGGTAGTCAAAGCTGTTTTCAAGGATTATAACTAAAAATAGATATTTGGATAACTAAAAATTTTTTGAAAATTAATAGTATTGAGTAGATACTAACCCAACTAGATCAATGGAAAATATTAGGTCCAGATACAGACTAACATCTTCCAGGTAGATTTAATATAAAAAAAAATGTACATAATACCAGCTCTAAACAATATATATAGTCTACCACCTGACAAAACTGTTAGATGTATAATTTTATTGCAAATTTTCGTATATACCTATCTAGAACTGTTTTGATGTTTCTATATATATTTCACATATACTTATGTATTTTACAAAATCAGATCATTCTAGACTTCCTGTTTTAAAATGTTTTTTTTTTTCATTGCTATGCACCAGTGAAGCAGAACGAGAATCAAGAGGCTGTATCCTGGAAGCAAATGAGGACGGTGTTTTCAGAAAAGTAACTGCCGACTGCTACCTGGAGGCTGAATGAGAAGCTGTTACAGCTCATTCAGGAAAGCAGTTTGGATTTCATTTTTCTTCCTTTCATAAATATGGTGATGCAGTCCAATAGAATTTAAACTTCTAGTCTATCATATCTCGTTTTAGGTTTTATTATTATCAAAGTTAAACAAACTTAAACTATGAGAACTGAACCCCAGAAAAGGATCTAAAATAACCTACTAGCTCTTTGGTAACCTAGTGGTGCATCCTATACTTTTTTTTTTTAATACAATTAAATAAAATATTATAGTTTAAAAATAAGTAAATAAAAGGAATTCCCTCTCAGAACAAAGCTGAAAGTTATCGGTACAAGTAGCATTTTTACTTACTGTAAGTTGACCTGCTACCCCAAAATCTGCAAGTTTTGCATGTCCTTCCGTATTTAGCAAAATATTTCCTGCCTTGATATCTCGGTGTATTTTCCTCATAAAATGAAGGTATTCCAGTCCCTTAAGCGTTGATTGTAATATTGTAGCTATTTCATCTTCTGTTAACTGAAAAAAAGAGAGGTTAAAATTCTACTAGTTTACATCAGCACATTCAAAAAAGAAAAAAAATTATATCCAAATTCCTTTCCTAGAATATAAGATCTTATTCAATCTGTAAACAGCACCTGACAGCTTCTAATACCATCACTATACTGACCACTCCCAAAGTTGTATTTCCAGCCCAGATCTCTCCCCAAACTTCAGATTCCTATACAACATCTCCAATGAATAACATGTCAAACTCAAATTCTTTATTTCTACTACCACATTACCCATCTCCTTATTACTGGCCTAACCTACTCTACTCTCCGGAGTCTTCTCTCTCTCAGTGAAAGGCAATTTCATTCTTCCAGTTGCTCTGGCTGAAAACCTTGAGATCATCCTTGGTTTTTTTCCATCTTCAAAATACTTCTAATCATATCTTCTGTAATCACGTGGTCCAAGCCACCATCATGTCCTGCTTGAACTATCTGAATAATTTCCTAACTGGTCTCATTGCTTCAGCCCTTGACCCTCTACAACGTATTTTCCACACAGAAGCCATAAGGAACCTTTTAAAATGTAAGCCAGATCTCTCAAAACCCCAACGGCTTCCTAAGTCACTCAAAATTAAAGCCAGTCCTCACCAAGATCCTACATGACCTAGTTTCCAGCTACCTTCACCTTCTATCGTTTTCTATCTTGCTCATCCTGTTTCAGCCACATAGGCTTCCTTGATGTCCCCTGAACACGCCAAGTACACTCCCACTTCTGCGCCTTTTCGCCTGCCTACAATGCTCTTCATCTAGATATCTATATAACTTCCTTACTTCACTGTCTCTGCCCAAATCTTACCTCATCAGAAAATCAGAGGGGCCTTCCCTAGCTCCCTCCATTCCTAGATCATTCTCTACCCCTTTATTCTACCTTATTGATAATGCAGCATTGTCACCATCTGATCTATCACACAATATTTGTATACCTATTTAGGTAATGTCTGCCATACACTTAAAGATGTCTTAGATCTATTTATTACTATATCCCTAGCACCAAGAGAGGCACCTGACAAATAGCAGGGTCCTAAAAAAACATTTGTTGAATGATGATGAAAAAATAAAAGCATGTTGGAAACTGACAAAGACCATCTATCTGCTCAGTCCCAGTCCTAAAAAAACTCAATCGACCAGCAAATTCTCACTTAGTTCTCCTTATGACAAACAACTTACATTTAGAAGGAAGCATACTGTGGTGCAAAAAATATGGGATTTGGGAATATGAAGACCCAGCCTTTACTCTTGGCTCTGCTTTCTAGCTGTGCGACTCAAGCAAGTTATTGACCTTCTCTTAGGGTCAGTTTCTCAATCTATTAAATAGGGATATCACTTGTCTTTAAGAGTGTCATGAAAATCAATAATATAAGGCAATAATATACACATGGTTTAACGACTACAACACTATCAATCAATCAACAAATATTTAATAAGCATCTATTAAGAGCCAAGCACTATGCTAATAATATTAAAAACAGCTAACAATTACTAAGCATTTAATCTATACCAGGCACTACTTTTGTAATCTCATTTAATCCTATAACAATCAAATGAGGAAGGTACTATTATTATCATCACCATTTTTTAGGTAATGAAGCCGAAGCACAGACAAATTAAGTAATTTGTGCCAAAGGTCATGGAGCTAATAAATGATAGACCCTCACTAAAGTCCAAGCAAACACTATTGGCAGGGTAGCAAGCTAGAGTTTGGGGTAACTTCTGCGGCCAAAGAGAACAAAGTTCAACACTGGCTCGCAGACTCCATATTCTAATCAGCTGACTGCCCAAAAGAAATATATATAAGCCACAAATTCGACTTTTAATTTTCTAGTAGCTATATTTAAAAAAGAAAAAATAAACAAGCAAAATTAATTTTGATAATATATTTTACTTAACCATATTTGTCTGAAATATTACCATTCCAATATGGATTCAATATAAAAAATTTAAGATTTTTTACATCCTTTTTTTGTACTAATTCTTCAAAATTTGGAGTGTATTTTATACTTACAGCATACTCAATTCAGACAACCCACATTTCAAGTACTCAATGACTATATGTGGCTGGTGACTGTCATGTAATCACAGTAACAGCTAATAATCTTTCACAGAAAGTATTCTCTGATTAATAGGGTGTAGAGGAAGTTAATCTGTGAACATTATGTGTAGGAGAAGAAACCAAATCCAAATCAAGATTGAATAGTCATTTTTTCCCCCAATAACAAATAAGCAAAGCATGTAAATATCACTGGATTGGGGTGGTGTCAAAACTGCCACATTTAAGAGACATCGAAAAGCAGAGGAGGGAAAAGAACCATGAAAAAGGGGAAATTTGACAGTCATCTCTCTAGATATGACAGTAGAAGAGTGCACATGAAAAACAGGCAGAGAAAAGAAAATGGTGTAAGAGACCGGCTCAGTGGTATTATTCTAGAAGGTAAACTTACCGTTTTATTTCGTAATCGAATGATATCAGACACTGAACCAGCCCCGCAGTACTCCATTACAATCCACAAGTCTGTGTTCTTAAAATAACTGCCATAATATTTGACTACATGAGGGCTGGAGAGAGAAACAACACAAATAAGTGGAAGAGACTTCAAACATCTCTATTAATTCACTTTGTTAAATACATGAAAATTAATTCCTCTGCTAAAAAGATCAATTATTCATATTTATGGTTAAAATGGACATCCCCCTGATAAGAATGTAAAATAGCATCGATTTTCTGGAGGGCAGTAAATAACTAAAGTGGAAAAAAAAAATGTGTGGGTTCTTTAATCCAGCATTTCTAAGTCCACAATTCATCCTAAGAATTTGATATGCAAAAAGAAAGAGTTACCATCACAGTACTGTCTACAAAAGTGAAAATTTAGATACCATCTAAATGTCTAACACTAAGGATTTTAGTTAAAAAATAATGATATATCCATGTAATGAAAAAAACATGAATCCATGGAAAACATTACAAAATACTTGATAACATGAAAAGTTATCCTGTTCTCACACACACACACACAGTGCAGATCACATAATAAGCATAGTGAAACTCCAAAAAGATATATGGAAAGATAGGTATATCAAGTAGTATTTAACAATGATTATTTCTCCAAAGGGAAAAGTGATTTTACTTTCTTCTTTTTATTTTCATTTTTCCAAGAAGTCACATGTACGTTGAAATAAGAAAAAAAACCCAAAACAATCTATTATAAAGAAAAAATTGGGGGTCTCAAGCCTGAAGAGAGATATAAAACAATGAATGTCAAAGAAAAGTCAAACATCTCATTGAAATAAAATAATCTGCCATCTGAGAGCTACCAGCTTTAACGGGCTAGATTGTTATCAGGGCTAAATAATGTTGCATAAATGAAGATGCTAAAACCAACTTGGCTTCATTAACTCTCAGAACTGAAAGTTCCTTTATCTCTAGGAAACATGCCAATGACAAGGACAGCAGGAAAAAAAACTGCACAAAATGAATATTAATAAAGAAACTGACGAATAGTCTCTTAAGGTACATATCACCACACTTTCTCTCCCTTCCCGAAATGTCTGTAGTATTTACGGCCTCTGCAAGGCAATCACTGTCAGGTACTTCCTGTTAGAATATGTTCTATATACCTCGTATTGTCAGCTAGATTTTCTTGGCCTGTCCAATCAGTCTACAAACTCCCAGAGGACCAGAACTCGGCCCAGTGTTTCTTTGTATTCCTTAGAGTACTTAGCACAGGGCAGGCTCTTCAAAATATCTCTTCTTAAATTACAAGCACTTGTACACCCTGTTTGGAACACAGCTCTTGCGTAGTCTCTCAAAAGTGGCAAAGTCCTGATTTGCCAACTGGAAAGTTTCCATAAAGTATCTTATGGAGGAAAAGGAACACTGCTACCTTACTCTGGTCAATCAAGAAATAAGGGGGTTTTATCTCAGAGAGAGTAACCACTAACATATAGAGAATAAAAGAGAGGCAGGGAGAAATCACTTAAGGGTTCCTGGGCAAAGTTCCTAGTAGGCAGCCCCACCAGCCCTAATGTTGAAGCTTTACAAACAAGAGGTACTGAGTTGATCTGCTAATCAAAAGAGTCTCAGAAGAATGAATGCGGCCTCGAGTGCTATACTTTCTCATTCTTTCAACTCCCTAGAACTGGCATTGTCCCTAAGTTTGTGTTTGTCTGAAATCTAAACGGTACTGGGAAAGCCTGCTCCATCACGGTGACCATCCATGTTGTCACAGAATTTCAGAGCAAACCACATGCTTTTTTGTGGTTGCCTCTTGGCTTGACTTCCTGCTACAGCATTTGACAAATCTTAGTTCCTCAAAAATAAGATACTTAACTACTCTTGGCTTGAATAATTTTTTAAAAATGTGAAGGAATGAACAATAATACATAAATAAGTATTCTCTTTTTACAGATCTATCTGATACTCTAAGGGTTCTAAAGGCGAAAGCACTTGAATTATCTGTTCTTAAGTGTCTCTGTAGAACTGTTTTCTCAATAGGAAGTAAGAGATCATTATCAAAAAAAAAAAAAAGGCAGCACCACCTTCCTCTGCCTCTTTGCCTCTTCTTCCTAGTTTTGAAAAGGGCTTACTAAAAAAAATAAAAAATAAAACAAAACAAAAAAACAAACAAAACTATACAGAAATACAAACCATAAAAGTTTAGCTATTCTTTTAGAAGAGGAAAAAGTTTAGCTACTAAAACACACAAACTTTTTGATTATATTTTTTTCTGTAAAGAACGTGCATGGTGATTCCACTAAACTCTCCCTTCTGCAAAATATCTAAGTCAATGCAACTCTAAACAATCACAGTCGATTCAAAACCATGTTCTCTCCAAAGTAACATCACACGCCTTTACCTGTCACATTGCTGCATTATAGAGATCTCTTTGATTATCTCCTGCAGGTCGGATTCCACAGGAACTTGCTTAATGGCCACAATCTGACCCGTCTCTTTATGAATAGCTTTGTATACGCTGCCATAGGACCTATCATTGGAGGAAGGAGAACATTTAACATTTATTAAAGTCAAAGCAAGCCAAGAGATACAAAGTGGTAAAACACAAGCAACTCACAGTTCTAATTTACATCCCATATATACTTGGCTACACTTGCAAAACTGAGATAGCTAAAGTACTTTGGAAAAGATGTCATTAAGAGAACTACCACAAAATGGCATCTTAAAAACGTCATATTTAAATTTTACTGAATGTGTTAATATGAAATAAAAATGATTATAGTAGCTACCATAAATTGCATGCCTGATGTCTGACAGAAACTGTGCATCATCTCAGTTCATTCTTCCTAAAAACAATGAAGGAGCCATTATCCCTATTTCACAAGTAAATGTGAAAAGACTCAGAAGTCACATGACTTGCCCAAGGGTCACAAAAGATAAGTGGGCAGTCCAGGATTTTAAACCAGGTGCATCTGAATATATGCATCTCTCCACATATATACTGGGGCACAAAAGTGGAGGTCTGTTTTTTGTGTTTACTCTAGTACCACAAGGTATTTTAGTCCTTACTCCTCTTACTTGCGATAATGCTTAAAATATCATGGAAACAAATTAAAAATCTAAGCTCCTGCAAATGCTAGTATCAAATGAACAGAGCACATATGAATGAATTCCTTTTGCCTTTTACTTCATCTTCCCTTAAGTTTATTATCAAAATAAATAAAAGGTACACATAGCCAATCAATTTGGGACATTAGATTTAGAATCTAAAGACCAAGAATTTGGTATTTAGATTCTGCCACCACTACAGATTAGCTATCGCTGAGACCCTGCTGTGCCTCTATTTTCTCATCTGTAAAATGACAATACAAACTGCTTTGCAAGACAATTGTGATGGTAAAGGAGATATCACCTTATACAGACTATCTTAATTGAAACCTGGATGGCTGTCAGTTAAATAAAATGAGTGAACTATCTTTCATGTTTCTCAAACACACCTATTCTTCATACTGTTTTGGTGAGGAAAGATTTAAAATAACAGTGCCACTTAATATATCAAAGTAGCTGGGTACTCTTGCTACCAAATAATGCTCAAGAATCACTGCAATGTGAAAATTAACATAAAATTTTTTTGAAGTCTATTCAGAGCACATAAAAATTTCCATTCCATCAGAATCTCTTACATTGTAAAATAGTGTAATGATCCTTATATATTACAGAAACCTTTTTTCTCGCCAGAGAAAGGCAACCACTGACCATGTGTGAAGACCCAACCACTTCCCCTTCTTCCTTCCTAAGATAACCCTCTGATTTGTTAGGGTGGTGAGCACTGGGTCCTAGGGGAAAAAGCATGGATGGAGGTCTAAGCCAGCCACAGTGTTCGTATTTCCTTTTGCCGGTGACTGAACTCACTGTAAGCGTATGACGTAGTACTGGCCAATGAAATTTGGGGGGAATTCTGCTGCAGGGTTTTTAGGAAAGACTTTCTTCCCAGATAACAGCACACAGGAAACATTTTTACCTGCCATTTCCTTTCCTCTTTCGGTTACTATCATGTGAGGCATGATGCTTGAAACTAATGCAGCCATCTTGAGACTATGAGAATAACATAAATGCTAAACCATTATCAAGCCATTTAACCATCTGGAGTCTCTCGCCCCATATTTATTATTAGTCATTAAATGCCCATATTGGTTAGTCACCATTAGTTGGGTATTATGTGACTTTCATCCAGTTATTCCTGATATACTCCCATGTGTGTGAAAATGTCTTTATTTCACCTTCATTCTTGAATGAATTTTGCTGGACGTAGAATTCTTCTTTGACAAAAACGTTCCCTAGCATTTTTTTCTGCAGTTTTCCAGCTTCTATTGTTGCTCAAATGTAAGCTATCATCAGATTATCATTTTTCATAGGTAATCTCTTTTTGCAGCTTTTAAAATTTCCATTTTATCCTTAACATTCTACTTTACTATAATTTAACAAGGAGTTGATTTACTTGGCACTTCATAAACATCTTCGATCTGAAGGCACATGTCTTCAAGTCTGGAAAATCCTTAGCATTATTATCTCTTTATCTCTATCTTTTCTAATATCTCCTTCTAGAATTCCTATTGGACCTTTATTGAACCTCCCCAATCCATGTTGTTTTCCTGGTTTCCAATACCAATTTCTCTGTCCTTTATTTTGTGATTGGTCTCATTTCTATCTTTCAATTCACAAATTCTCTTCTCGGCTTATCTACTTTACTGTTTATCTATTTATCCAGCTTTTAGAACTTCAATAATTGTAGTTTCCATTGTCAAGATTCCCAACTTTTTATTTTTCATGGGGCTAAGTGTTAATATTAATAATCTCATGTTCTTCTTTTAAGGATGTTATTCCCTCCTTTTATCTTTTTGAAAATGATAAACACAAATGTCAAATTCCTTTTCAGACTGCTCCATTATTTCTACTTCCTTGGGTGTGAATTTTCCCATTTGTTAGGTCTGCTGATTATCTTATGACAGATTTCCTTGTATAGGTTTCTTTTTATCTTGAATGATTTTCCTTTACATAATGCTCACTGTCAAGAGCATTCCATGGCATCACAATGGTTTCATGGTTCCCTCAGCCCAGTCTTCCATGCTGTACAATTTAAACCAGATCTCTTATGAGGAGTTTAGGGGTTTTGCCCCTCAAGATAAAATACCTGAATGCAGTCCAGGCCCAGTTCCTACTGTCAGACCAGCACTTCTCCTTTTTTCCCAGGCCCCAGTTACATGATACTTCCTTGTGATGATCAGGCAAATTTATTTCAGCTTTAGTTCGTAGATGGAGAACCTTGTTCTAGCCCATGACTTCACGTAGGAAGCCCGCCTGCAATCTCCTGACAAGGACAGGCATATTTTACTCTCATCTTACTATAATACATAACTTTTCTATCTCTGGTCCACAGCTGGCTATGTAGCCTTACATTTAAAAAATTAATTTTCATTCATTAGTCTTATGTATTTGAAATGGAAAGGAGAGGTCTCTACATGTACTCACTCAACAATCTTGACCAGAACACTCTCCATGCCTCCTTATACTATCCTGACAGCAAAGAAAACTCCGAGAGCTCATATGAGCATGATTCATGATTCCACGTACTGTGCTTACAGTAATCGATGAAGGATTTAGGTTTTAGTAATTGTGTTCACTTACAGGCAAGTCCCTGAAGACCTAATTCCCTACAATAAAAACTAAGTGACTCAATGAATGTTAACTGGCAGAGAGCAAAGATGATAGGGAAGTAGGTGTTTCCCACAGGCCATGCAAGGCGAGAATCAATGTAGAAAAACAGAAATAATACAGTATCTGAGGGCAAATTTTCTAGGTGCTAGTCTTAACATTACCACTCTCCAGTTATGAAACCATGGGCAAGAGATTTTTGTTATCATCCTACAATAAAAATTTAAATGAGTCTTCAATGTGTAAAACTTTAAGTAGAATAGAAGAGAAAAGATACTAGGCCCTAATTCTAAACACTTTCCAAGTGCTGTCCAATCATCCTGGTCTGGAGCTTTGGCTCCACTGTTCCACAGATCCACACAATTTCCTTAAAATGCAGAATGACTGAAGAAGTTTGTGTTTAGAAAGTAAGTGCAGTTAAGGTCTTCCTCCAGGATTCTGCTAGTTAAATGAGGTTTGTTCAGGTTCATTCAGCCATGATGACAGAAATCTAAGCATCTGTGGTATCTTTTAAAAGAACAATGTGGCGATAACATGGGAAGAAAGATCTGAAGCGTTGTTTTCTCCCTGGTCATATCTTCATAGGGAAATTTCCGTAGATGAAGATATCCACTGATCTAAAATACAATTAGAAATAATCATAATTAGCTTAGTTTTTCCTTATATTATATTCCTGACAGTCTGTAGTTTTCTTTTGATATTCCCTAAACCCAATCAACCCAGAGCTCCCTTCAAGAATACCTAAATAAACTTGAAGACTTAAGATTTAACTTTTATGACATGAAAATATCTGAAAAATGCTTCAGTTGATACAGTTAAAAATAAAATAAGTTGCCACTTACTGAGCACTTACTGTGTGCCAAGTAAGTACTTTATACCTCCATCATCTCATGTAATACTCAACAGAACCCTATTAGGGAGATACTAATATCCCCACTTATAGCTGAGGATTATGAAGCTTCAAAATTTTAAGCAATTTGCTCAAGCTCACTCATTTATTATGACTAATAAACAGTTGAGCATGCAGGTCTGTCTGACTTCAGATCTATGCCCTTATTACGAAACACACGTTCATTAAAAAAATTAAAGTCAGATAGTCAGTTATGTCTACCACTCTTTATCTTATTCAAAGCATAACCTGTGAACAGTGTTAGATTAAGGGCCTTAGACTCATTTCCTTGAGGATAATAACAAAGATGCTAAGCTAAAGCTTGAAATGGCAGGCAAGATATGTAGAAGGACTGTCATTTTCTCATACCTTTAATGATGTCAAGTCAGCATGCTGTCTTCAGTCTAATCTTGCACTTGTCTTTAAGCAGCGCAGATGGTGTCAACTTTTACTTCCCTTCTCTGCTGGATTTCTTGCTTGATTCCATAGAGTATTTTTCCAACTTACAAAAAGATGATGACTAATGTTTTTTCCAAGGAAGCAATCCATGAAAAACCTATTCTATGTAATCCAGGATTGGGTTTAACATTGTTATTGATCTATATTCGGCATAAATGACATTAAACCCCCAAATAATCTAATGATATATAAGACCTGATTTTAGAGAGCATACAGTAAATATACAATAGACATTTTTTAAAGTTAATATATTAGGCCTTCTCTTAAACCAGAAGTACTCCCAAGAGACTAAAAAAAAACCACACAGACACTTCCTTATTATGCGAACTATCTCTGAAGGATACATAAAAACTGCTATACTGGCTGCCTCTGAGTAGCTAAGAGGTAGAGATAGGGAGCAGATTTTTTTCATTATAAACACTTATGCCTTTTGAATTTTAAATATGAATTGATTATCTACTCAAAAATTCACAACAAAACTTAAGAAAGGATGTCCCTAATTATTTTAATGGTCCAGTATAGAGTATAAATAAACACACAAGGATTAAATTAAAAAGATATGTAAAAGCACAAAAAATTATGATGTAATCTTTATTGTATCAGAAAAGTCAATGATGGCCACTAGCTATTACATCATATCATTTAACCAGTATTTTTATCAACTCATTCATAAATCTGTGTTTCAAAAAGTCTACTTATTCCCAATCTGAGATTTTGGATCTCTTAGGAAGCTAGGAAGGTAGTATTAGTCCTTGATTTATTTACTATATTTCACAATATTGCACTAACTAAAATGCTGAATTCCATTTTTTTTTATTGAAACACTTATTGCATATCAATCAAAAGCCACCTACTACAAATAAAAATGTCCGATTAATAAAAAAATGTTTACATGAAGTATAAACTAGGTAGTGCTGTCTATTAAATAGAAAAAAATCATGCAAATCATGGATTCTACAAGAGAAAAAAAATAGATGTCCTTGGTGCTAAAAAGACCAGTCACTAAATCTGTCTATATTAGTGACTGAGGGGGAAGAGAAAAAGGACATTTCAAACTGTAAATTTACCTCCCATCCCACCCAGAGATGATATGCAATATTCCCCCTTTTTCTCCTTAGGTTTGCAAATTATTGCCATGAAAAAGGTTCATATGCTTCTGATATTGGGCTGGAAAAGACTGGGGCCTACTGGTCCACATCTATTTTCTGTACACTCACCCTTCTCCAAGTTTCTCTAAGACATCAAACACTTCTTCTGGTTGTTTAGTTAAACTATCTTCATCCAACTTTTTCAGCTGCCTGTGAATGAAGAAATGTAAACAAGAAATACATTTTACTTGCTAGCAACTAGAACACAAAATATATTGTTTATTTTAAAATGAGCATCTCAGGAAGTTCTCTACAAAATCTTCCCTAGTAAACAACAAGGGTAAGCTAAGAGACTTTTAAGGGAAACTGATGGGCTGTCCCATGGAAGTATTACATGCGTCCTGAGTCACCCTGATAGGCAAAATCAGAACCAGACGGTGGAGAGCTACCAAGAGGCAAACTTCAGTTCAACAGGTGTAAGAAATTTCTAACAATAAAAAGTAGTTCTAAAATGGTTTAGACTGCCTTAAGAAGTCCTTAGTTCCCCATCACTGGAGAATTTAAACAGAAAGTGAATCGTCATGTGGCTGAAAAGCTGTAGAGTGGATTCAAGCATTAGATATAACCTGCAAAATCCATTTAAATCTTGAGATTCAGTGAATTAAAATGGTATAACTGTCTCTTTGGAAAAGAGGTTTAATGTAAGGTTAACTATGAATTGAAACATGATCTTAGACTGGAGGCCAAGGAAGACACAGAAGACCCTTGCTCTCCATTAGCAAGGTTTGGTAATTTTGTCAAAACAGATTCTACAGGTATCAGAGAAACAGGAAGTGGAAAGTATATGCTTAGACTTGGATGATCAAAAGTGAAAAATAACTAGGCAGCTGGGAGTTTCAAACAATATTACAAAGACTCTTTCGAGAGCAGCCATATACCTCTGACTAGTCCCCCAAATCAAAGATATATGGCTGCTTACAACTTCTAGATAATTCAGATTTTTCTGATTATGCTAGATAACTGTAACAAGGTTATAAATTAACAATATTCTTTTTAAAATTCTGAGATCTTTGAAAATTATTTACGGGCTTAAAGGAGGAGCTTCCTAAGTAATATTTGTGGGTGTGTATCTTCTACACAATGGCTTCCTGAAACTATAAAGGACAACAAAGAAAAGAGAGCTCAGGAAACGGTGAAATATGGAAGTAGTCACACTGGAAATTTCTTTGTAAAGAAAACTAGCTGAACAATATCAATTTTTACCAAAAAAAAAAAAAAAGACCTGAATTTAAAAAATACACACACTACACACACACAAATATGTACCTTCCTAGAGAAAACAAAACAGAAGACCCCCCCGAAAAAAAAATCAAATAAAACTTCTAAAACACATCGAATATACCTACCAATAAACACTGATCTCAAAAGGACAATCTTACAGAATTTTCTAAATATCAAAGGCTATGTACTAAAGATATGGAGAATTGCTCATGTCAATAATTCCCAGAACTTGAAAATTTACATAACAAAATGACCACGCTGCCCTTTAAAAACCAAAAGGTCCTAAAAATTAAATCCCAATGACATCATGAAAAACTCCCAGCTTCAAAACAAAAAGGGCTGAAATGAAACGCCCTTTAAACTTCAGAAGTGAAATTTCTATGAACGCAGAAGTTAGAATAGGCATCTCATAAATCAGGTATTTTCGGTGAAGCGCTGAGTTTATAACTATATAAACAATGGACAATACCTCATTCTTCAAGTATAATTAAAGTTTTATAAACAGCTTATATAAAGGAAGATCAAATGTGTTCCTTTGAAGTGTTGACTTTGTGGTTTACAAAAGCAAAACTCACTATTTCAATTACATGAAGACCACAGCATAACAAAGGAAACTGCCACTGCCATGAAACAGCTGCAAGCCTCTGATAATATTTTGACAAGTAGAACTTTATGACTGTTCAGATACTTCTTTAAAACAATCTAAGTGCTTTTTTGTGTTTTTGGTCTGAGCTTAAGGGATCTTCAATGCTCTGGTGCCTGATAACCCAGAGGTAGTCAATAAATATTTGCTAAATGAACTAACAAATATACTAAGAGGAATCATACATCTTCATCAGCATTCTTTGAGTTTTCAAAATAAAACACAACTGCACCCTAAAAAGTATTATTAGACTCTCAACAAATGAGATTTCTACGGAAAATCTTTTGATAAGTAACCTAATGGTATTTTATACCATGAGTCTTCATGGTAGAAGCACTATAACCACAATACCCAGACTCTGATGATTCAACTCTCTCAGCTGGGACTTCCCCAGGTCCTAGGTAGTTTCATTGCTTGTTCACAAACCGATAGGCCTGGACAACACAGCCTCCATGGACCAAATACCGGCAGATGTACCTCTCTCAAGGCAGATGGCCACGTGAATGGCTGGCATCCCAGAAATGTACTCTATACCTTCTGCTACACTATTATCTAATGGTAACTCACTTTTTAAAATTATAACCTCCTACATAAGCAAATAACTTTAATCTATCATCACTCACTTAGTCACACATAAATGTCAAACTTATGAACACAAAGAGCATTTCCTGCATTGGGGTTGCTATCCCTTGTTGGAAACATGTATCATCTAAGTTTCTGAAAAGACACCTGTATCTTTTTTTGGCTAAATCTCAAACTTCTTTCTCCCATTTTAGGACTCCTGTAAGGTTCATTTTATTTGTGTATACTTAACCCTTTTTCCACACAGAATTTAATATGGGTTACAACAAACACATAAGATAAATTGATAAGTTTCTTTAACGATAATAAAATTAATGTCTCCCACTCCCACAAATTCATATATTGAAGTCCTAACCGCCCCCCTCCAGTACTTCAGAATGTAACTGTATTTGGAGACGGGGCCTTTAAAGGGGTAATTAAGGTATAATGAGATCATATGGGTAGGTAGGCCCTAATATGATATGACTGGTGTCCTTATAAGAGGAGATGAGGACACAGACAGGTACGAAGGGAAAACAGTGTGAAGACATAGGAAGGAGACAGCCACCTACAAACCAAGGAGACAGGCCTCAAAAGAAACAACCCTGCTGACACCTTGATCTCAGAGTTCCAGTCTCTAGAATTGAGAGAAAATACATTTCTATTGCTTAAATCACCCAGTCTGTGAAACTGACAAGGCAGTTCTAACAAACTAATACGAATAATAATAAACCTAATCTGCTGCAAAGTAGGCAGTCCATTTGTTATAAAAGCACTAGTCATTTAAGAATTGGCCCTGCAACGCTCTTTTCTTGCACATTTAATACATTTTTAAAATCCACAGGCACAGGAATGAGTGTCAAAAAGCAAAAGCCTTACTCTTTTGCCCAAGATTAAACAACACAAGGCAAAGGTAGAAACAATACTCAGATGCTTAATCCTTGTTTTAATTACACCAAAACCTCAGAGACAAAATAAATGTATTTAAAAAAGAAATATAACCAGTGTACATACAAGGCCATGTGCAATAGGGGTACTTCCAGAGAGGCATCAGGGTGAGGCAGTTAAGAGCATGGACTTTGGACCACACGGCTTGGATTAAAATCCCAGTTTTGCCACTTACTAACTGTGGGACCTCCAGCAAATTACTAACCTTTCGGTGCCTCAGTTTTATTGCCTATAAAACAGAGATACAGACCACACACCACATCAAATGATTGTTATGAGGATCAATAGAGTCAATAAGCTGAATCACATGAAATTACCATTTTAATAGATTAAAAATGGTCAAAATATCACCAATTTCATATGGTTCAACAGGAGAGATGGAAAGCATTGCGAACAGTGTCTGGCATTCAGTAAGTGCTGTATGAGTGTAATAATCATTCTTATTTCAGTCTGAGCACACCACAGTAGGGTGAATTATGAGTCCATCCCAACCAGCTATTTGCTTTCTGCAATGCTTGTGCATTTCAAACAAACCCCAAGTGTGCAGCCCAGGCTGCCAATCCCTTCCCTTCACCGCTCTCTCCATTGCCCCACACTCCCACACGCTGAACACTTCCTACTTTAGTGCTCATTCTGCTGCAGGAAGTCAGAGGTCTCTGTGAAACAGAAGCTAACTATATTGCACCTCTGAGAAGCATGACTCCCCACCATCTCAAGTATTTTTTTTCCAGAAGTAGCAGAGTCATATAGACCTTACTGACATAGACCTCAGAGCAAATCAATGATACAACTGCAACCAACCAGGATTTCAGACTTTCTAGGCTCATCAACCTCCCTGATTTTGACTTAAAACAATTCCAGGTAGCTGCAGGATCTGGAGTTGACATTCACAAAACAATAGAGGCCTGAAAAGGGCACAGTCTGGTCTAAGGACCCAGCCTAAAGCAAAGAAGAAAACACATATGTCTGTATCTCAACACTCCTTGTCCTCAATTTGCCCATCTTGAAAATATTCTCATATTTCCTTAACTACCCTCCAACGTGGAGTTTTGAAGGGCTGAGGATGTCAGGAAAACTGGGAAGACACTGCACATCGGGAATGAAAGGCTCCATCATCATCTTAGGGTAAGAACACTATTAAGAACATCTTCCTAAATGCTATCCTCGATGAACCCCATCCCTGCTAGACTTTCGCCCTTTCTCGGCACACCTTCAGCCTTAAGAGCAAAGATTTCCCTCTCAGCAGATCCTCCCGCCACTGCACCCGTCAGGTGGGACTCCCTCCCTCAGAAAGTCCACCCAGCCTTCCTCTCTGCTTGTCCAGATCCATCCCTTAGACAGAGCCCTCATGGGTTCTCATCCTCTTTCAGCATTCCCCCTACCTCAGCCAGTCTCTTCTAAGACAGTCTTGCTCCAGTGGCCCCAGCCCTCAGCAGGTGCTCTAAGTTATCCTCGCGTTCCTTAGCAGCTACTCCCTTCACTGGTGGACGTCCCCCATCCCCGAGGATGTCCTTCCATCCACACCAATTGGTCTCCCTACACAACGCCACGTTCACCTCCCTCCGCGCGTGCCCCACTCTTGCAGGACCCCCACCCGCCGGAGGTCCCCCATTCAGCAGGTGCCCCATCAACTGGGTCACCTCGCCCCGCAGGTCCCTCCCCTCTGGAGGCTCACACACCGATGTCTCCCTCCGCCAGTTCCCGCCTACCCCTCCCTCACCCCTTTCCTATTAACCAGTGGCCCCTCACCGGCGCGGCGGGTTCCTGAGCTGCACCGTCTCCATGGCGCTGCCGGCAGCCGCCCAGACCCGCTCACTGCTTCATCCTCCCCCGGGACCTCCCTGTGCCGGCCCCGCAGACCCTCCCACACTTCCGCTTTCCGCCCATACCGGAAGCGGTGCGAGGCGCGGGGAGCTGGGCGGAGCCGCGAGGACCCGGCCTAGATCACATGGTGCCCGGCCTGCGTCACGTGGTGCACCGGGGTTGCGGACAGGAAAGTCTGGGGTCCAGTAGGATGCTACGCTGAGTGTGGTCAGCCAGGCTCGAGACTCGACGATGTTATCTGGTTGCGACGCTGTTTGCCCAAGACTTTCGGTCCCCGGACCCGGAACCCACCTCTGCCGTGGTCCCGCCCCGCCCCTTCTCAGAGGCAGGTGCTGAAGCGTCTTGAGAAGCGCCGGCTTGATAATAAGCAAAGTTCCACGCGATTCCTGGAAAGTGCTGCTCCAGGAACTCCTGGAGGTATTGGTGGTTTTCTCGCTGTATTAACTGAATTCTTATTCCAAATGGAGAGTGGGCCCCGCATACCCTCTCCTTGGATGTCACAGAGCATCAGCGGGCAAATTGCCCCACCCTCTTAACAGCCTCACCTACGAGTCAGTTTGCAGATTTAAAAATAGCTAATGTTTATTAAGTTCTTGCATGCACTTGCTTTCATTTATTACCTCATTTAATCCTTATATCAAGCCTGCAACATCTTCATTTTTATGTATCATTTAACATACAATGCTTACCACATTCACAGTACTTTACGAATATTAACCCATTTAATACTGCAAACAACTGTATAAGGTAAGTACGATTATTACTCTCATAAGACCACGGAGGTGAAGGTCATAGAGCCAACAGTATAACGATGTAAAGCCAGATCAGTCTGATTCTAGAGCCTGCGCCACCAAACTGGACAACCACTGATGTGTACCCTCTGATTGGACATGAAAGTCAGAGCCCCAGTTCCAAGGATTGCCATTTGTAATTCTTCAGTTGCCACCGCCAACGAGTGTTAGGAAAAAGGCAGTTGCCACCCAGTTTACCTCTGTGACAGTTACAGGAGGAAATTTACCCAGAGCAACCTTTCACTATTTTAATAGTCCTGCTTTTCCCAAAGATATGCTATACATGAAACTTAACACCTGAGCAACCATCTTTCAGGGCCACCCAGGTATGGCACCCCATATTCTAAAAACGGGATAATGGAGCCATTCCTCTGACACAGGAGGAAAACATTTACTGAGGATTTATTATGTGCCAGGCACAATCCTAGACTGTCATTTAATCCTCAAAACAACATTATGAAGAATTATTATTCCCCGTTTACAGGTAAGGAAGCTGAGACTCACATATACACAGCTAGCAAAGGTTTTAGCCCAAAAGTGTCACTTTGTTCTATAAGAGATCTGTACAAATGGCAGTAGGAGCTCTGAGGAAGTAAGATCAAGGAGAGTTTCTACAAAGTTCAGGAAGCCATTACAGGTCCCTCCTGCAAGAAGTCAATCCTCTGTCCTCTGAAATCTTCTAGCACTTTTCCTGTACTACTCTACTTTTTACCTTATGTTCAGGCTCTGCTGCCCATTGGATTTTTCCTCCTTGAAGGGTCATTCTGTGTCTGACCTGGCATTGTGCCCACACACTCATCCCTATAGATAAGTAGGTACTCAACATTTAAAATCAATGTCAATTTACCAATACACAGTGTCAGACACCCCTCCTTTGTCCCCTTCCCAGGACTTTTCCAGATGATGGACTGACATTAGCTTTAGAAGGTACATAATGTCATCTCCACTGTTCAGGGGATACTTGTGTGGCATTCCACTTGTAATATGTTCAGTTGCAAGCAATTAAGAAAACATTTAAATGGTATTTGTTGTTGATTAATTCTAGGATGATTCAGTGGCCAACAATGTTAATGTCATCCTTCCCCTCCAGTCCTACTCAGCGTGTTGGCTTTTCATACTTGAGCATTTATTGCTTCAGTTACAAAATGACTACCACACCTCCAGGTATCATGTCCTTTACCCAACACTACCCAAAGTAGAAAGAGCACAAAAAAGTGTAGTTCAAAGTCCTGTACCTCTCCTCTTTTCAAGGAAGAAAAACTTTCCCTGTAAGTACCCCACAAACATCTTTTTATCTCATTGGTCAGATCAGGGTCACATACTCCTTGACCAATCGCTGGCAAAAAAGAATGAGATTATTGTGGTTGGTAATGGCAATTCGAGAATGAGTGTACCTGTTAAGGATCCTGGTAGCTAGTTGGGCTCAAATTTATAAACAGAGCCTAGCGGCCATTGTTAACAGGGGCCTCTCACCCACGCTGTGGTTCAGGAAAACCCACACTGAACTGCTGGCCTCCTGCACTATGTGCCTGCTGATTGAGCAAACCCTTATAAAGGAGTTTCTATGATCTAAATTCAACCAATAGGACTTTGACTTTACCAGTCTAATCAAGCTGTGCAGCTATAGCTTCTTTTGCCATCTTCACTGACTAATCAAAGTATCTCTCTATTCTGACCAATCAGGACAGTGCTATTTGGACCAATCAAATTGTGAGGCCGTGGAGTCCTTATTTGTATAGAAATGACCAGAGTCTGGCACTCTGCTATGTGTAAGTCCAGTTCCCCGTTTCTAGGAGCACACTTTCCATTTTTTACAAAAGGCTGTGTTTCTCTGGCTAGAACTGTAACACCAGAGCTGATTCATACCAAGCCCATCTCACATCAAGCTGTTTCACAATTGAGTTGTTTTCACCGAAGTCCCCCATTTGTTGCACCCCAAATGGTAGATTGCTGTTGGTGTTAACTGGCAGCAGACCTTCAGTTGACGGTTTAGAGACATCCTGAATAATGTCCTGGGCCAGGAGAATCTCAAGGAAAATTCAGACTTCTGGAAGCAAAGATAGAGGCTGTTGAGTAGATAGCCAGCCGTGTGTCTCATCTGGGTTCCCCACAACATTGGGTGTTCATTCTTCCGTCTTCTGTGGGGGCCGTGCTGGGCTAAGGGAATTTAGATGGAACAGCTACTCAATCTTCAGAAAGTTTATAGTCTGATTGAGTTAAGAGTTTACACAAATAATTGTAACTAAATTCCTGGGGTCAGAGACCAGGTTTTTGTCAGCAAATCTTTATAAATGCATGTCAGGTGCCAGGGCCTATTAGGTCTTGGGGAGACAAAGATAAAGAAGACCTGCTTCCTGCCTCTGAAGACCTCAGAGTCTTTGGGAAAAACTGTATACTGACAATCACAGACTGATATGTGCTAAATTAGGGATAAACCCCAGGGGCAATAGGAGCAGAGGAGGGACATAGTGGAAGGGGGAGGAGTAGTCAAGAAAAGCTTTCAGAAATGATGTTTGCATTGACTATAGGTCGAATTACCATAAGGCAAGCGAAAAGGTGTTTGGAAAAAAAAAATCCAGGGTAGGAGAGCGTTAAGCAAATACTAGGAAGCAAGAGAAACCACTTAACGTGTGATGGTAGCAACAAGCAATTTAAAAAAAAGGGGGGGGTCTGCGGCCATGCCACCCTGAACAAGCCCGATTCCGTCTGATCTCGAAAGCTACGCAGGGTCAGGCCTGTTTAGTACTTGGAGGGGAGACCACCTAGGAAGACCAGGTGCTGTAGGCGTAAAAAATAAGGGATTGTAAACTGATGAGGTCCTTGCAATCTGTGAGGTCAACTAAGGGTTGCCTCACCTAAAAAAAAAAAAAAGTATTAAGCGGGACATAAAGTCAGATGAGGCAGAAGATGAGCTGGTTTCCCTCAGTGAAGATCCTCCACCAATCTATCCGTGCATTCATTTATTAATTCAATATCTGTAGAACACTAGGTGCCAGTTAGTTTCCAGCCTCAGTGCCTTTGCATTTGCTATCCCTTTGTCTGGAACAGCATTCCCTAAATCTTTTCAGGTGTCTGCTCAATTATTAGTCCCTCCTAGATGCCTGTCCCCACCCCCACTTATCTAAAACGGTCCCCACGCGGTCCCTTTCTAATGCATTAGTGTTTTGTTTCCCTCATAGTGCTCATAAACATTATGAAATTATCCTTTTCCTTTGCTCATGAGTTAGTTCTTTGTCAGATTCCACTAGAATATAAGCGCCATGCGAGCAGAGGCCTGGCTTCTTTCACTGTTTCATCCATTGCGTTCCAGCACCCCGAGGTACCCAGCGCAGCACCAAGGAGATAGCTTACGGGAACGTAAACGCCAAACTGAGCATGCGCTATGCACAGAGCGCCGGGCGCTCCGGGCCACCGATTGGCGCAGGCCCCACCCCGTCCCAATCCGTCCCGCCCCTTCTCTGTCAAGTTAGCAGTCGGACCCGGGACTTAAAGCCTTTCCTTCCGCTCAGACGCCTTTCCGCAAGCAAGACTCTGTGGCGGGAACGGCGGCGCCCCGCTCCAGCGTTTGCCGGCCTGGCCCCGGGATGGCTCCCAAACTCTCAGACTCCGTGCAGGGGCTCCGCGCCGCCGGCAACCAGAGCTTCCGCAACGGCCAGTTCGGCGAGGCCGCCGCGCTCTACAGCCGTGCGCTGCAGCTGATGCAGGCGCAAGGTATGACCCTGGCCCCCCTCTTTTCACCTCCAAAGCTGCTTCTCTCTCCCGTCTCCCTCCACCCCATCTACCCAGACCTCGCGCTTTCCCTGCCTTCCTGGGGTTTCCTTTACAGGCGGCCGACTGTCCCACCAGGCCTTTCCACTACACTTCCCTACCATTCCCAGCGTTGGCATTTTACGAGAAACTTCCTTGGCTCTTTCCTTTTTTTTTTTTTTTTAAATTGTAACATGGTTTTATTACTGGTTCTTTTTCACTTAATGACATATCAGAAACATTTCCACATTAATAGATGCTTTATCACTTTTTTATGGTAAAAAATACTTATTAAATTTACCATCTTAATCATTTTTAAGTATAGAGTTGAGTAGGTATATTCACACTGTGTGCAGCAGATCTTTAGAACTTTATCTTGCCAAACTGAAACTGCATACCCACTGAATGCTAATTCTCCCCCTTCCCTCTAGCCTTTGGAATCCACCTTTCTACTTTCTATACCTATGATTTTGACTAGATACTTTAAATGAGTGAGATCATACAATATTTGTCTTTTATGAATGGCTTATTTCACTTGGCATAATGTCAAGGACATTATAATTCATGTCATAGCATGTGACAGGATTTCCTTTTTTAAGGCTGCATAATACTCCATTGCATGGTTATACCGCTCTTTAAGTCCATTCATCGCTGATGGACATTTGAATTGCTTCCACCTCTTAGCTATTGTGAAGAATGCTGTGATGAACATGGCTGTGCAGATATCTTCAAGGTCCTGCTTTGAAATCTTTTGGATATATACTCAGAAGTGGGATAGCCGGATCATATAGTAGTTCTATTTTTAATTGGGGGAGGGGGACCTCCATAGTTTTTTTCACAGTTGCTGTACCATCTTACATTCTCACCAACAGTGCTCAGTGGTTCCAACTTCTCAGCATCCTCACCAGCACTCATCTTCTGTTCTTTTGATAGTGGCCATCCTGGTAGGTGTGAGCTACCTGCTTTTTAACCGTTCCGTTGGTCCCCATCCTGTTATTCAGGCGTCATTCTAATCCTTGAGGATATAGCTCAACTCTCCTTCTCCTCAACCAGTCTTCAATTAAGTTAATATTTGTTGAGCACCTTTATGTCCTGATTGTGTAACAAGACAGAAGGTCCTTTCTCTCAAGGATCACACATTCTTGTTTTTGGTAAGGAGGAGTGTGGATCTTAAACTAGTAAACAAGACCTGTCCAATAATGATGAGGGTTATTGTAGGAGACAAACATGGTGATATGATAAAGAGTCGACTAGGGAGCTCCTTTAGAATGGGAGGTCAAGGACCACTTATTTGAAGAGGTGACATTTGAGGTGATGTCTGAATGATGAGAGGTAGCCAGGCGCACAAAGTTTTGTGAGCTGAGCATTCCATGTGGAGGAAACTGTAATTATAGGCATACCTCGTTTTATTGTACTTCTCATGCTTCATGTGTGTTGTATTTTTTTACAAATGGAAGACAAGACTCTCCACCAACAAAAAGATAACTACTTGCTTTATTGCAGTGGTCTGGAATCGAACTCTCAATATCTCTGAGATAAGCCTGTAGAAAGGCACCCAGATGGAATAAGCATGGTGTGTTCCAGGAGCCAAAGCATAGTGCGCCAGTGGAGGGAGTAATAAGATTTGAGGTCAGTTAGACACGCAGAACCTTATTGTGTAGACATTTTACACAGGAGACCATGGTGAGAAGTTTGGGTCTTGTTCCCTGATGGGAAGATACTGGAGAGTTTTAAGTAGAGAAGTAGCATATTCTCATCAGTTCTTCCAGCCTCCAGCTCATTTCAACCAACCACAGCCCTTTCCCTAAAACCTCTTCTCCAAACTGTTTTAGCCCTCACTGGAATCCCTTCTCTGTAGTACCTATTTCCCTTTGTCTTCCTTCTTTTTCTCATGGCTAGTATTTGTCAAGTGTTTTCCCATGTGCTAGCCATTGTCCCTTTTTATCTTCATACTAACCTGTGCCTAAGACACTTGATAGGTGAGGAGTCCAGAAGGGTTAAGTTGCCTACCCCAGGGTTACATAATGAAGACATTTTATAGGCAGGATTTGAATATGAGTCTGTGTCCCAAGTCCAAGTTTGTAATCATTTTGCTAGACTTCTCCCCCAATCCTCTCCGAATTGCTGCCTTTTTTTTGTTTGGACTTTTGCAGTTTCAAGCCACTTTTGCTTCATTTTTTTTTTTCCCTAGAACACTCCACCTGCTCATCTCAGCCTCACTTGAAGTCACTGAGGAATTTGAGATACTGATATTTCTGCCTTTTTTTTTTTTTCATCCTGCCCCAGCTGGCTTGGAAAAGCTTGTGCTTTTGTAGGGATTTATTCTGGGTCCCTAGAAGAGCTGGCCTGGTGTCTAGATTTAGGAGGGGATGAGAGTTGGATTGTCATCGTTCTTTAGATACTACGTGGGCAAGTCCCTTTATTTCTCTGATCAGTTTTCCTGATCTTGAAGGAGAGTACTTGGATAGGAGACCACCTAGGAAGACCCCGTGCTGTAGGCGTAAAAAATAAGAAATAAGGGATTGTAAGCTGACAAGGTCTTGTCAAGTTTAGGTGAGGTCAACCAAAAAGGTTACCTCGCCTAAAAAAAAAGGAAAAGAAAAAAAAAGGAGAGCCAGACGCGATGTAACATAGTAAACCCTTCCAGCAAGTCTGTGAAATGATAGTGTCATGTGATAGGTGAGCACATGCGATCAGAGGGATTGAGTGACTTGTGCAGGATCACAAGCTGGATTGTGGGTTGGTTTGTCCTTTGTACCGTACTGGCGACTGCTGCTTCTGAGCACCCGTTCTCCGGGGACTTGAGATGGATTACAAGTTTCGAGTACTTGTACTTGTTCCTTAAGGGCAAGGATATATTTTACTTATCTCTATACTGTGCTGTCTCATTCAGGGCCTGACAAAATAAGAAGAAAAAAAAAAAGTTATTGTTTGTTGTTGTTGGTATTGAATGAAAGATGTGGTAACCTGATACTTAGTGAAAAAGGCAAGTTGCAGAAGGATAGGCAATAAGGTGTCACCTAGGAAAAGCTTTAAAAGATAGAAAATGATATCTTACCTGTGAATACATATATAATAAAGGTGGACAAACACGCATGAGAATGTTACATACCAGCCTCAGGATTGTGCTGACATCTGGGAATCTGGAGATGGAGCACAGGGAACAGGATGAGTGGAGCTTTGGCCATATCAAAAATGAAAAAGATTGGGAACAGAATGTTTGCTAAGCCTAGCGATGGATAGCGAATATCTGTTTTCTGTATGTTTCACACTTTTTAAAAGAGCTTGTTTGCAGTTACTTAGGGTATATACCTGGGAGTAGACTTACTGGGTCAACCTTGATAGTTTCCTTTTTCTTTTTTTTTCTTTAATTATGGCCCTTGCCAGTGGGTATGCAGTGGTTGAAAAATTATTTTTAAAAATGAAAATCATCATGGCCACTTGAGCTTCTGAGATCGCTGAGAGTGAAGACTGCCTTTAGAGAAATGTCTGATAATTCTCCTCCCCGTTGGGGAGCTAGAGTCCTTCCCCTCATTAAGTTCTCCACAGTCCTGCCACACCCAGGGGACTTTTCCCTGGCAAAGTCCTCTCTGATTTAACTGGGTAGAATCAATCTCTGTTGTCTATGTCCCCACAACACTCATTCATTCCCTTTATCATACTTTTTAAATTGAGTTTACATGCTTTTTGTAATAAAATGAATGCACCATCTACCCCTAAATAGTTATAGCATGGATTTCTTCGAGGCAGAAGGCAGCTATTTCATGTTTATCTTTTGCCTGATGCCAAATTTAGTGGTAGAGTGAGAGAATAAGAAGATGCTTGGTGTTCTCTCTCCCATGTACTAATGACAAACTTGCCAGCCCATTGGACCATCAAGCCTGATCAGGTTATAGTCATCTCTGCTACCTTTTACCAAAGCCGAGAGCTCAGAATGTGAATGCACCCAGGACCCCAAGGCATCCATTTCCCAGCCTATTAATCTCATGCTTTCTGCTTCCACCTGGGCAGGTTCTTCGGACCTCGAAGAAGAAAGTGTTCTCTACTCCAACCGAGCAGCATGCTACTTGAAGGATGGAAACTGCAGAGACTGCATCAAAGATTGCACTTCGTAAGTAGTCAGGGTAACTTCGGGGTGCCTTCGGGGCTCGGAAGAGGAGCCTGGGTATACTTCTTCTTCAAGCCAGTCTGATGCTGCCTTCTTTCGTCATTGCTAAACTAGCACACATACCTTAATGTGTTCTCAGATCTGATATCCTGTGACATTGCCTTAGAATCATTGCCCTGGTAGTAGATGGGAGAAGGGAAGAGAGGCGAGCATGCTCGTGGAGCCTGTGCTGAGTCGATTTGTACCAGGCCCTGTGCTAGGTTTCTTTCTCGCAGTCCTCGTGACCACTGTGTAGGGGAAGATTTCCATCCTTCCCAGGCTAAAATTGGGTTGCAGAGGATTGAGGTGATGAGATGATTTGCCTGGGGTCACATAGTTAGTGGCAGAGGTGGACTTCAAACACCACTCCATCTGACGCCAGAGCCTGTTCGTTACTTCCACTGGGCCACAACTCTGCAGAAACGCAAAGAGGCATAAAGCTACAAGGCACTCGTTCTTAGTTCGGGGGGGATTGCAGTATGAATGCACATTGATGCACATGCACACAAATTTCACAATATTAGTGGTTCTCTGCTCTCTTCCCTTTACTCAGTCTAAGTTGAAAAGTCCCTCTTTTAAGGTTTGACGTTTTCAATAGTGTCTCTCTCCTGGAAGTGACCTCCTATATACTGCATGCAGTAGCTGACCCTGCCTGGAAGGAGCTGCGGGGGAAGCCCTGGTAGCTTAGCAGCCAGATGACATTTCTGCCTTCTGCTCTAGCGCGCTGGCCTTAGTTCCCTTCAGCATGAAACCCTTACTGCGACGAGCATCAGCCTACGAGGCTCTGGAGAAGTATCCCCTGGCCTACGTTGACTACAAGACCGTGCTGCAGATCGATGACAGTGTGAAGGCAGCCTTGGAAGGCATCAACAGGTGAGCCTGAGATTTTTTGTTTTGTTTTTCATTGCCTAGGTGCTCAAATTCATTCATACAGTAGTAGTTTATTGAGCTCTGTTGAAGGTATTGTGCCAGGTTCAGTGGGAATGCTGAAATAAAGAGATGCAGACTCCACTTGCTCCCAAGAGCTACTGAGAGTGGGGAAAGTAGGACCCAAGCACAAGCTGCTGGTAAACGAGGCTGTAGGGATTTTGTTTGTGGACATGGGTCAGGGTATTCTGCTACAACCCTTTCATGAGGCCCCTTGCGTAAAGTTTCTTTCTGGTGTTCTGGGCAGTTGTTTGTTTTTATCCGAGGAATTCCCTCATTTGTGTAACTGATCATATTTCCTTCCCCTCTTTGCGTGGGCTGCGAGAAAGCCAAACACCACACTAATAGCAAACCCTCAATAGGACTTCATGATATGTGTTTAGTGCATTTCCAGCTTGACATGTTTTTACTCCTTTTAGTTTCTATCATTCAATAAAATTTGCCACTTAGGCGCGACTTTGCACCAGGGCCTGGGCTGCTGCCTGAGACATACCTCTTCCTGCCCCGACAGAGCTCCTGGTCTCTTGGAGAACACTGGTCCTTAATGGGCAAGCACACAACGAGGGATGAGTGCTGGGTGGGAGGCAGCACACAGGGCTGAAGGGGCAGAAAGGAGGCGCCTAACCAGCTAGGAGGAGGCGAGAGAGGGCTTCCAGAGGAGGTGAACTGAGAGATCTGGAGCCAAAGACCAGCCAGGAGAAAGGGTGCAAGAGTGAGCAAGCATGATGTATTACAGAAATTGTGAGAAGTCCATTTCACATGATGCTGTAGGTGAGGAGTTCAGCCCAGGAGAAGTGGGGAGGCCAGATCACACAGGGCCTGGCGTTCAGGGGCTTGGGCTTAACCTGAGCACAGTGTTAAGACCCATTGCAGAAGGGTCTTAAGCAGGCGGGCAGCATGAGCAGATTTGAGAGAAAAGTTCACTGGCTGCCGGGCTGAAGAGAACAGAGTAGGAAGGAGGCATGCAGTAACCCGGAAGGGTGGTGGGGAGAGTGGGAAGAGAACAGTGGGACCCGTTAAAGGGACGTTTACGTACTATCTCAACAAGTTTTGGTGGCTGGGTGGTGAGAAGCGGAGAAGAGAAGAGATATCCCAGTGGCTGACATGTTGAGTCTCAGGCGACTATGAGACATGAGACTAGAAACGTAAGGAAGACACCCAGGTATTTACATGGGTTTGGGGCAAAGGAGAAAGTATAGGTCAAGTATACACATTTGAAGGTCGTTGGCATAGAAGTGGGTTGAGGTTTTGGGAGAAAAGAAGAATACCACAGCAGGCGTGTGGGAGGGAAAGGATGGAGCTCCGAGAAGTTCTGACATTTGAGGGACTTAGAGAGGAACAGCAGCCAGAGCGGGAGGAGGAAACTTGAAGTACTTGGTGTCACAAGGGAAGGAGTGTTTCCAGAAGGACGAGGATGCCATTCATATCAGATGTCCCAATGAGCTTAAGTAGACCAAGGGTTCAGCAATGAAGTTCCTGACAATTCCGATGGAAGTGGTTCGGTGGAGTCAGGAGCCAGATGGCAGTGGGTTCAAGAAGTCTGGCCGTGGGGACGCAGAGGAGTGTAGCTGCAATGGCAGAGGGATGTCCAGGAGGGTTTTATTAAGTGAAGGAGAGTTAAATGCTGATAGTTGGAGCCAGCAGAGAGAAATAATGAAGATGTAGGAGAGGGGGATGCTGCTTGTGTGGCCCCTAGGAGAGGCATGAAGAGATGGGGTCCAGAGCGTAGGTGGAGGGATTGGCCTGGTCAGCTCTTCTGTTGTGACAAGAGAGAAATAGGAAGGCTTGGGCGCCCTTGCAGGCAGGTTTGTATTTGGAGTATGAGGAAGTTTTCTCTGAAAAAGAAAGAGGGTTAAGGAGCAGAGCTGAGGAGGGTAAGAGATTTGAAATAGCTGGGCCGATCAGAAAAACAGCTCTGAGGGTGTAGTCAAGAGACTATGAATTTATAGTGATGTCATTCTGTGTTTTCATTCTAGTGTCATAGGAACATGGTTGTAAAAGCAGAATAAGTACAGAGTTGGTGTTATTCACTCATTTAGCACATACTTACTGGACTCTGATGGGTGCCAGGTAACGACGTGCTGAGTGCTGGAGATCATAACAAAATGAAGATGGTCACTGAGCAGCATTTTAAGCAAGTTAAACAACCTAGAAAGTGGGAACGGGGACTGGGAGGTGGAAGAGATTGTTCTGGGTAGAGGACAAAGCACGTGCAAAGGCTTGAACAAAAGGATCGAGAGAATGTGGCACCTGATGAAGATGGAGCCATAGGAGGGGACCAGATCTCAGTCCCCATTCACTTAGGGAAATGGGAACCACTGAAGGATTTTCAAATTTGAGAATGATGTAAGATTTGCATTTTTTAAAACTCACATTAATCCAGTGTGGGGTGCTTCAATGGCCTTGTAATAGATCCGTTAATATAAAGCATATGGTCCTTTCTTGGGGAATGTGTGGTCCTTTGGGAATAAGGTAAGGTTTAAGTACCCTTAACAAGCAACAGGTCATCACTTTGAAGTTAACATAGTGTGACCAAGCGAGGGCCAGGCAGGGAGGGAGAATCGTGGTAGCCAATCTGAGAGGATCTAAAGAGATGGTTCAGATCGGGGGGATGACACAGGCTCTCATACACCTCTGTTCAGTTTGTGAGAGGAGGCGCATCTCGACCCAGCTGGAAGCCTCCGGGTTATCCTGCCTGCTTTTCCAGGATGACCGGAGCCCTCATGGACTCACTTGGGCCTGAGTGGCGCCTGAAGCTGCCCTCGATCCCCTTGGTGCCTGTTTCAGCTCAGAAGAGGTGGGATTCCTTGCCTTCGGAAAACCGTAAAGAGAAAGCTAAAAGCAAATCCAAAGAAACCACAACTGCAAAGAACAAAGGTGAGCTGTGACCTCCTGCTCAGTGTTGCAGTCTCCCCATAGCCACTTTCTTTAGAGTAATCCTATGAAAATTGGCCTGGTTTAAGCTGAGTTATAAAAATAGTCTTCAAGCAAGAGTCTTAACCTCCCAGAGACTCTCTCCTCAACTCTACAGTGGGGGTGGTGAGAAAACCCCACAGCTGTGAGGACTAAGTGACATGAGGCACGTTGAACTCTCAGCCTGGCATATAGGTATACGGTGATAGTTCCCTTCGCATTTCTGGCAGCATGTGGGATGTATCATTTCAGATGTTTTAGTTACAAGAATAGAAAACTCATCCTGGTAAAAATAATAAAGAGATTCTGTTGACTCATGTAATTGAAAAGTGCAGAGTTCAGGTTCAGGCAAGGTTTGATCCAGCAGCTCCCCACATTATCAGGCTCCGACTCTGTCTCTGTACTCTCAGCTCTCTTCTCTGGCACGTGTCAGCTTTGCCTTGAGCAGTCTTTCCTCCTGGCAGTAAAACAGCTATAACAGTTGTTTTACTGTTAACAGCCTCACATCCATATCCATCCTTCATGACCCAGAGGAAGAGAAAAACTGTCTGAGAGGATTTCTTTTCCCCAAATCCCTAACCCACATATTTTCTCAATTTATTCTGGCCTCTTTAGTCATAGGCCATTCCCTGAACTAGTCTCTGTGACCAGGGGCTGAGATTTTGTGATTAGTTCAGCCCAAAGCCACCTGCATCACTTTCACAACTAGAGGGTGATGCTTCCCCAGGAACACACACACTGTACGAGTCCTTAGAGGAAGAGAAATGAGGGAAAGGAGATCGAAGCCAGGTAGCCCTACACGGGAGACTGTCCACCTCGACTGTGTGAAACAGGCCGTTCTTCAGGCGGGGGCTCACTGGACGCCCTTACAATGCACCAGGGAAATTACTGCATCACTTTCACAACTAGAGGGTGATGCTTCCCCAGGAACACACACACTGTACGAGTCCTTAGAGGAAGAGAAATGAGGGAAAGGAGATCGAAGCCAGGTAGCCCTACACGGGAGACTGTCCACCTCGACTGTGTGAAACAGGCCGTTCTTCAGGCGGGGGCTCACTGGACGCCCTTACAATGCACCAGGGAAATTAGTCCAGCCCCGCAAGCTGGGCGCTGAGGACAGGCGGTGCAGAAGGGGGCCGGGCCGGAGCCTTGCCGCGGGTGTTGGGGGAGGACAGGAGTTACTCCCGTTCCCAAGGGGAAACCTCTCTGGCCACGGGTAGCATTCACTCTGGTTTGTGGGAGCCTGGTAAGTGTTCCCAGAATGAAAATGTGGGGTGCTAATGAACAAGGTAGCTTCAGTGCACCTACCATTCATTTCATTCTTTCAGAGTCACTAAGCCATATGTGACACAGAGAGATTGGGCTGTCTTGGCCCTCAGGAAGCTCTTGGTCCAATGAGATACTGAGACACATAAACAGCATTTTAAAACACAGGAGGAAGGACAGTGCTTTAGAGTCTTCGGTGTTTGGGGAGTTCAGAATAGGAATTGACGTGACTGGGCTTAGGGGAGTCAGGGAAAGGCTCACAGGGGAGGTGGCAGTGGAGGTGACATGTCGAGCGGGGCCTTCAGAAGGGAGAGGGAGAAGGCACGGGAATTCTTGGCAGAGGCACTGGGGAGAGTTAGAGAGCGAACGCATGGAGGCTGCTGGTGAACAGCGGGCGTAAGCATGACAGCAGCGTGTGGCGTGTTGCAGAGCTGGGGTAAAGCTGAAGCTCTGTGTACCTTGCAACCCTCTGGCTCTGCTTTTAGAGAAACTCATGCACACGTGCACCAGGAGACACGTATGAGAATATTCTTAGCAGAATGTTTATAATAGCAAAAAACAAAATGGGAAATCATAAAGGTCTCCATAAATAGAAGAATGGAAAAATCAGTTGTATTGCAGCAGTGAGAATGAATGAACTACAGGTGTATGCATCGACATGGATCAATCTCAGGAATATGATTTTGCAGGGGAAAAAAAAAAAAAACAAGTCATAGAAGAATACATAGAACTATGTATTTCTTTACATTAAGTTCAAAAACAAAGTAAATAACAAACGGTTTATAGATACCACAGTGTATAAACTACCAAAAACAAAAAAAAGAAAGATGTACAGAATGGGGATTATGGTATCCTCCTGTGGTAGATTGGTTTGGGGAGGGGCCCACAGAGCTTCAAAGGCCCCAGTAACTGTTCTGTCTCTTAAGGTGAGGGATGAGTTGAAGGGTGCTGGTTTTACTTCTAGAGCCTTACCCTTGTCATAAATATTTAGTATTTTATAAAGATAGTTTTTAAAAATTAAAAAAGCAGGTGATATGGGAGCCGGGGCTGGAACAAGAGCAGCTTGAATTTCACCTGTCTCCTTGAACACTGGGGCAGAGCTGCCTGTGTTAAGTGAGGGGGATACCCACAAGCTCAGACCGAAATAGCGATGAGGAGCAGCAGACTCTTCTGCTTTTTCCTGAGAGCCCGGGAGCAACACCTTCTGTACCAAGCGCTTGTTAATTTAAATACTACTAATTCTCCTGCTTACAGTTCATAAGGAGTTCTGCACTTTCTGCACTTTGTCGTGTCTTCTCAGATTTCATCCTGACAACAGCCTTGTGTAGAGTAGGTGTTGCCCCCACTGTATTGGTTAGGAAATTGAGGTCCCACAGAGGAGGTAGGTCACACAAGGTCTTCCGGCTGCTAAGTGGCAAGGCCAGGGTTGGAACTCAGATTGTTTTTTATCATGTGTATGTTATGTGCTTGTATGTTTATACCAGGACGCCCCAAGCTCTTCTGAACGAAAAACTTTCCAGAAGCCATTAATTGGGGGACTCATTGATTAAGAATGATGCTTTCAAACAGCGTAGGAAACCTCTGGGGAGAGAGGGTTGTAGATGACTTAGATGAGACAGTGCCAAAGAGGCCTTGTCGATCTCCGTCAGGCACCTGCTCCATGGTTTTTTCCTCTTCTGAATTTGCATCTAGTGCCTTCTGCTGGGGATGTGGAGAGAGCCAGAGTTCTGAAGGAAGAAGGCAATGAGCTTGTAAAGAAGGGAAACCATAAGAAAGCTATTGAGAAGTACAGTGAAAGCCTCTCGTTTAGTAACCTGGAATCCGCCACGTACAGCAACAGGTACCTTCCCCGCAGCTGCTGGCCTGGGGGATTTCAGGGCATGGGATATTCTGCCCTATAGTCTTCTCTTGAACTGTGGTGGGCTCTTCATCCCTGGCATTGAGTCAATATGCTGCAGCTCAGCACATGCATTCACACTCGTTTCAGTCACCACGCGCAGGCATTGCAAGCAGTGTGCTTGCTACACAGACACAACCTCAACACAAGTCTCATAGCTTCTCCGTATTTTTCTGCTCCTACCCATGGCTTCTCAAAGACCCTCCTGTTAGAAATTTTGGCACTCTGTCTGAGAGCACAGGGCTGAACCCAGGGTATGGAGTAATTATCATCTGGCCTGAGAACAAGAGAGACGGGTCCAGTCTAGCCTGAGGGAGCAGACTCGTGGTGCTCTAGCAGGCCCTGCGCCATGAGCTGCTGACGGTGGTCAGCGATTCCACTGACAGGACCTGGGAGCAAAGGCCCCATCCCTTTATTGTGCAGGAGTCACTGCTCTGGAAGAAAGCTCAGAGGCATTGATAATAATTGGTCTTTCTGTTTCAAAGTTAAGAGGCTCAGAGGAGGAAGGGCTTTGCCTCAGCTCACCCATCCAGTAAATGATGGAGACAGAACTGGGACCTGGCTCCAATAAGATCTGTTAGTTTCACTATCAGAAGCTTGAAACATTCAGCAAGGGACCATACCTGATCCAAACATTTTTTATAAAACATTTCCTATAAATGTTATAAATCTGTTCCTCCCTCCTTACTAACAGAAACCTTGGATCTACTATAGGCTCACCTATTCCGTAATCTAAAACTCTTAGGATAAAATGTTTCAGACTTTAGTAAGGTGATATGGTCCATTTACTAATCACATAACATTTAGGGTCCGAGGCAGCTTGCCGAAGTTCATTGTTAGCATTTCTGCAGTGAAGCTTAAGGAAATTCCTCATTCACATGGGTGGAATAGAAAAAGCCTAGCCTCGTGTCAGTTTGGGTCAGGGTTTACTGCCTAGTGAGTCGGAAAGGGAACTCGTTTTAAAGCTTAAGTATTGGGCCCATGGTTTTACTGGCTGGGTGGATCAGGGTGCCTCAGTCTGCCAGGCTAACCTGAAAAAGAGGGCTGCAGCCTATTTGTTCCATGTTTGCACAGCTTCATCTTCTAAATATCCTCTTTCTCTGGGCTCTGGCTTTGCTGACCTCATGCTGCTGGAGACCTCTGTTAACCCATTTTCCTGGATATTTACCACATTTTGAGACAATGTTTAAATACATGCAGAAGTGTCTGTGCCACACTGTTTTAATTACTGTTGCTTTATAATATCTCATAGGGCTGCTCTTTTTCTTGTCCTTAATCAGAGCACCCCCAGCCGTTTTCCCGTGTTTGTTCTTCCAGCTAAACCTTAGTATCATTTTGACAAATTCCAAAAAGTATCTTGTTGGGCTTTTGATTGTGGTTACATTGAATTTATAAATTTAACTTGAAGAACTGATAATTTTATACAAAACTGAATTTTCCACCCTTTGTGGCTAAAATTATACCACATCCTAGATGCCATTAGAATGCTCCCACTAGTGCACGTGCATCTGTGCAGACCAGGATGTCATCTTCCGCTTCAGTTCTCTGTTAATAGCCAAGTGGACATCACCACCCGGGTCCCTGCCACCTACAGCTTGCCTGGCCCCGGATGGACCTTGAGACTCTTATTTGGTACAACAATTCTCCAAGTTAGGTCATGGTCCTATTTTACCTATGAGAAAACAGGTTCAGAAAGAATTAATGAGCACAAAGGAAGACAACTCACACGTGGTAGAGCTGTGATCAAAGCCAGGTCTTTGTGGCTACAAAGCTTGGGTTCCTTTTCATTCACTCATGTTGTCACCCAGACTTCTTTGTAATCAAAAATAAATTATGGTAGAGGCAACTGACTACTCTGTACCCATTCAGAAATGGTGGAGCGGAATGGAAGGACTTAATAATTGAGCTCCAAGACATCTGTTTTTAGTGACTGTCTTTGGAGAAAAGGATTAGAATCGAGTGAGGCGGAGATACATACATACTTTTTTTCCCCATAGATGCAGAATGTTTGGTTCTATGGCTGTACCTGACTTACTGTTTTTTCCCCAACATTTTATTATGAAAAACTTCAAAATATCAGTTGAAAGAATTGTACACCCATATACCTACCATCTAAAATCATTAACATTGTTATATCTGCTTATTACTATTTAGTGATCGGTCGATCTTACTTTTGTCGCATTTCAGAGTAATGCAGACACCTTTACATTTCACCCCTAACATGTCAGCATACATATCGTGAGAATCCAGTATTTGTTTTTTCTTAAGGCTAATTTTTTAATCTGTCAGGAGGAAGATTCAGGAAGCCTTTTCTTTGCTCGAAAGAGCATAGTATAGGAGCGCAAAGTAGACAAAAGGATAGAACTAAGTGAGGATAGAACTAACAGAGTCTGGTTCTCCAAGGCTGCTATTCCTGCCCTCCCCTTGGCATAGTCCCCAGTGTTCTGAGCTCCAGATCTCTGGGACGAGTCCCCAGTCTGCCCCTCAGTAGTGGCGGTCCCTCGATCAAGCCACTTCACCCCTGAGCCAGCGTTTTCACTTGTGACTATGGGCTAGGGTGGTTGTGAGGATTGAAAATGGAAAGCAAGCAGCAGAGTAGGTGTTTGCGAATCAGGATCCTTTCTCAAACTACCTCCTGGCTCTGGGTGGCCCCTAAGAGTGACTGGAACCTCTGGAATGGTCTTTCCCTGTCAGAGCGCTTTGCTATTTGGTCCTGAAGCAGTACAAGGAAGCAGTGAAGGACTGCACAGAAGCCCTCAAGCTGGATGGGAAGAACGTGAAGGCATTTTACAGACGGGCTCAAGCCTACAAGGCACTCAAGGTAAAAAGATCCCAACCAAAAGGTACCAGCTAAGCTACAGACTTTTGTGCCTGTGGTGGTACGTCCACAGCATAGTCAGGGTGAGGGGGTATCTGCCACACCCTGGTGTCATCTGGGGGCCCAGGGTAGCTCAGTCAGGGCAGGCCTACATGCTAGGGTTTGAAAACCCTCTGCTGTCTCAGCAACTGTCCCCACATTTACTTGGTCTCACCTCATGGCACCTTCCTCATGCCCTTTTCTCTTCTATTAGGACTATAAATCCAGCTTTGCAGACATCAGCTCCCTCCTGCAAATTGAACCCAGGAACGGCCCTGCACAGAAGTTGAAGCAGGAAGTTAACCAGAAGTTAAACTAAAAACCCGAAAGGGTGGCAGGAAACCTCTGCCAGACGACCTTCCTCTGTGCCTGCTCCTGGGACCCCAGATGCCCCAGACTGAGCTCGACGTTCCCTCCTCTGCCCCTCAGAGGTGACTGCCTCCCACCCCTTAAGAGGCTTTGTTTGTTCAGAGTAAGCGCAGTGTAGCCAAAACCAGACATTGTTTGCAGGCAAGGTCCCCTGCTAGAGCCGAAGCCCTGTCCTCCATCCCCTCTCTCGGACAGCTAGTGGACCACACACACAGGCAAGCTCAAGACAGTGTCGCTCTTCGAGCTTCACCAGACTCCTCACTGTCGTTCATCTGAGCAAACCGAGCTGGGGGTGGGAGCAGGTGGGCCACAGGACCAGAACACTCTGGCCCACCTACACCCAAAGCAGCCTGTTGAGCTGGTTCTCCAGGGCTGCCATCCCTGCCCCGTCCTTGGCATAATCCCCTGTGTTTTGAGCTCCAGCCCCGCTTTGGGATGCAGAACCCTGACCCTGGATGGCTTTGTCTGGCTCTGTGTTGCCTCCTGCGTGGATGTTGGGGCCTAACCTGTTTCAAGAGCCCAGAGGTGTGGTCACTCCTCCTGAAGCTGGGGTGGGGAGAAAGGTTGCCTTGAAGTCAGTGTCCTTCTGTTCTGGGCAGGGACTTGCCTTTTGACCCCAACAGTGGCCCCCTCCAGGCTTCTTAGGTTTTTTTGTTACACAAAGTTAATTTGAACTGAACTGACTCCAATATTGTTAACTGTGTTTGATTGCATTAAACATCTTCTACATAAATGTGCTTTCGTTTATGCTTTTTCAGCTTTGTGCTTGGAATTTTGCAGCAACAATAGCTGCTGCTTTTTGAGCACTCATCTGTTGAACAAATTTACTGAAATGTCTGCTTGGGCCAGGCCCTATGTACAGTACTGGGGAAACAGTGAATGAACAGATGTGGTCCTTGCTCAGAGGGCTGACAAGACGTGAATCAGGTAATCCCAGGAACAAGTATAAAACTGCAGATTGCGGCAGCGTTTTAAGGAGTCGTCACACAGTGCTTTCCCTGCCTACCCGGGGAGATGTGACCCCATGAAGGGAAAGGGGTCCCTGAGGACAAAGTCTGAACTGAGCTCTAACATGAGAGTTCAGCTGGCAAAGAGGGGAGGGAAAAGGCTCGAGTTGGGAAGACGGGTGTGCACAGGGACCAGAAAGTGCCACTCCAGTCCACAAAACCTGGTGGATGAGGCTGGAGAATGCTTTAGGGTCCAGCCAAACCTAAGGGCTGCCTCCCCTTCCTGGGCTGTGTCCGAGTTCAGTTCTTTCCCCTTCATGGAGAAGTTCGATGACTAAAGCATCACATAGTGCTGAGCGGCACTCAGCTGTTGGCACAGCGCTTCCTGCCTCTCTGAAGGAGTCTCCTGAGCAATCAGACCTCTAAGAGTCCACAAACTCATAGGCATGGCTAGGGGACCATTTCAAAGTGGGGAGCTGTACCCGCTCTATCGCTCCCTCTTAAGCAGGCATGGCTCTTACCCAATTTGAGGCAGATTTAGCAGAGACATCCAGTCACCACTTTCTTCTCAAGGTCTAGAAGGCAAGTATCTTGACTAATGAAAACATAGGCCAGCACATCCTAAGGCTCTTCTCTCCCTATAGGGGAGGAAAATCATGACCCAGGAAGGCACCCTGAAGTATTTCTACAAGGATTCCCTATGGTACATAAGCCCTCAGCCCAGAGCGTCGCTGGTTCCTGGGTGTTTGCCTGCACTGCGGGGTGCTTAAGCCAGGCGTCCGGCTATGGGCACCAGTAGCTTTAGTTCGTTTGGTGGGTGGTAACTGCTTTTTGGGGGCCATCACAGGTAGTCCTGCTCCGTTGCCAACAGTTCTGTGCTGTTGTCCCCACACTCTGTACTTCAGCACTTGTTTGGGTTTCTGTTCCCAATAGTCACAGCCCCAATCCGGTCAAGCCCACCCTTTGTCCTGCCCCACCTCCCTCACACAAGAAGACCTCTCGAGAGACAAGCCAGAATTTGCAGCACTTTTAATGCACGAAGCAAAGGGTAAGGGGCTGGCTGGCGACCCGCCTTTATTCCATACACTGAGCTCCAGGTACAGGTACAGCCCAACTGGGAAACAAGTTACGGTTCACAGGGCCTTCGAGCCAAGAGCAGGAAACGCTGTTCTCTCAGCCAAGGGAGTGAGGATTCCATTTTCTGAGGATGAAAGGGCAAAAATAAATGTTTCTGAAGTATGGCAGACACCTGGTCTTCAACTAAAAACGGAAACTAGACCCAGCCAGGCCTTTGGGCGGGCAGAAGGGAGCCAGGCAGGGCCCTGGGGAAGCCCTACCTATTCTGAGTGAGGCCAGGCAGGGCAGCTGGCGAGAGAACATCACTCTCACTCACTTTGTACTTGCACAGTAGTCAACACCCATTCTAGTCACACAGCTTATCCTCTGCTTTGATCCTCACAGCTTCCTCCAAACTCGGAGAAAGTCAGACACAACATGGTTCCCCGTGACTTTGTGAAACCAGTCCCTGCAGAGTTCTTTATAGCTTCGGGGCTCAGCTACTATTCCTC